TGTGTCATGTTTCACCTGAATCATTCCCTTTTATTTTTCCTTCCCGTCAGCCTTGCTAGCATCGAGTCTTTTCCACGGTGCCATAGCCCTGGCAATCAGCATATAGCAGGCCTTTGAAGGTGGCAGGTTGAATTTATATGAACAATTTGCTGAATCAAACGGGGAGTCTGTGGCTGCTGTCATCTCCCAGTTGTGCTTGTTTATGTATGATGGTGCCTGTCCTCCTCAGTCAGGGCTCTGTGCTATTGAATGCAGCAGCTTATTAGCTCATTTGTTTCAGAACAGGACAAATCTTTCTCTAGAGGCCCCTATCTTTTAACCAGTGATTACAGAAGGGCCCTAGATCAAATGAGGCTTCCGACTTTTAAGATTGTTCAGTCTGGGGAGAAGAATCCTGTGCTTCCCCCTGGAGCCTGGAGAAAGCATTTTGCTGTGCCCTAGTCCTAGTCTATGAATGGGGATAATAATAAGTAGTGAATCTTGATCGTGTGGGGCAGGAGAGGGTCTCTAAAACACAGTAGCTTTTGGGCAGCAATTCCTTCTGTAGTAGCAATGGTCATGTCAGCAGTGTATCTTTGTTACGGAGGTAGAAGTTAATTTTGGATCATTCAGTACAAATTGAGCCTGAACTGTGGCTCTCAACTGGATGCAGTTTGTAGGAATATCTAGAGCAGCTTGTGGTATGCAGAGTGGCCGTGAACTATGTGAAGGTAAAGTTTCCTGTAATTGCAGCAGAGGGAGCAGAGAGAACTGCCCGTACACACTGTCCATCCTTCAGTTAAAAACTGCAGCATTGTCGTTGTGCAGACTGGAAGGAAATGAGTCCCTGTTGCTTACAAAGGAGGCCAGGACTGCCAGACATTTGTTTGGAGCTGTGAAGAGACATCAAAGGCTTCTGGGTCCCTCACTGCCTAGGGAGTGATGATAGAAATACAGCTAAAGCAACCAGCTAACAAGCATTTTCTGGCTATTTGCTTCTCAACGTTTGGTTGACAGCATCATATTCATAGGCATCTGCATCTATTCACCACAGCAAACTGATTTGCTTTCCACAGCAAACTGATTTGCTTTAGCAGTGACCTTCAGGCTGTCACTCGTGTCTGTGAAGTGCTCTGAAAACGTGAAGGGCATGACAATAACAAAGGCACTCGCAGCCTGCCGAGGGGAGCCGCGATCGCCCAGACTTCCCCACTGCCACCAGTTCCCACTGGATGGTGAAGAGACTTTCCCCTGGCTTGGGCTTCTCGTCTGAAAGTGTGTGCCATGTTAGTGTTTTAGGTTTTCTTTCTTTTTCTTCTTAAATATTGGTGCTGAATTCTCATGAGGGACCTGCCTGCAAAGGTGTTGGCTGAGAGACGAGTTTGACTGCTGTGTCTTTTGATAGTAAATGCTCTTGTTTTAGAGAGTCCCTGCGCTGATCCTTCAGGTACGGTGTCTTGTGTTTGTACCCCTTGTTGTGGTTGGAGTCCTCCTTTGCTTAGGGATCCCCATTATTTAATTTTTTTTAAGACTAGAGTACAAAGTTTGGGCTCCTGGAAGAGTATTTTGGGCCAGAGAACTTAGTGGTAGAGAAAGAGATTTAGAATATGTCACATAAAAGATGAAAATGTGGAAAGAATCTAAGATGGTGCCTAAGTGTTTGACTGGCACTCTTGTCTTAAATTAATATTGAATTTGGTTTCTGTATGTAGCAGCCTCATTTTCAGAGGCCTCTCAAGATCCAGCTACCATGTCACCCTGTGGGCAGCAAGTGTTCTGCGGTAAGCAGAAACATAGGCAGGGCTGCACAGCTGCATGAAGAAGTCTTCAAGGACACCCAAATCTGTGGGAAGAAATAGTCTGGAAAGTCAGAAGGTGGCATTTCTCCTCGAGAGTATGTAAGTAACCAGTAACTGGTGTGACTCTGTGAGGGATGGTCAGAATTCAGTGTGTGTTGTGTAAAACCTCTCTGGTAATATTTGGTTTATTGCCTTTATTTACTTTTGTCCATTTCTCATCTTGCAGAAGTTTCATCCCATTCTGTGTAGAGGCAGTGTTCTGCCCAGAGGAGTGTTGGCACGCCTGGCCTCTGAGGCACGAAGGCTGCTTCGCTTCAGGGAGAAAGGTGGTGATGCAGAACGTGGTCTGTACTTCGTCCAAGATGTGGCTTTGCTTACAGTTAGTGATTCTTCCACAGATGCTTTGAAAAGTACATTTAGAAAATATTTTTTTAGCACTAAGATGTAATCTGTGTGAAACAGTCCACCTGTTTTTCATGAAATTCTGCATAAATCACCTGATAGAGCTCTGCCAGGGCTTTGTTTAATAACACAAGGGTTGCAGAATAGAAACTGTGATGTGGTGTAAGGGTACGAGTCATCACGGTGTGTTTTCTTCCCCAGGCTTCAAACATCAGAGGACATTAATAACATGAATCCAAACTGCTGAAGTTAAGTTTCCTTACATGTGTGTCATAGAATAGCTGAGCTATGATTGCTTTTTGAAATGTCCACACCTTTAAAAAAGCCTTTTACTCTGGTGTTGTTTCAGCCCTTGCTTTGGCCAAGGAATTTGTGTCATTCAAAGGCTGTCGGAGCACTGACATTCTGCTTGGAGAGGATGGTAAAAAGAGCTAAAGAAGTCAGAAGAGGAGAGGAATGTGTTCAGGCTGCTGTATTCCCTCAGAATGCTCACAGACAGTATGAGAGCCCTCACTGAAGGGTGCTGCTGAGGAGCTGGAACGGTGCAGTAATGGGAGGATGGAAATAAGCTGGAAATAAAGTGCTGGGGGAGTTGGGGTGGGCTGAGGGGAAGGAGTCTGTGGTGTCCTTGCACGGGCTGCAGTCAGGCCAGTGCTGTGGGTGAGGAGCAGCCTTTGGAGTGAGATTGAACCTGCCCCACCTGGCTCAGGGCATTTGTGCTGTCTGGAGGAAGAGAGTCCTTCCCCTTTTCACTGCAGCTGGTATTGTCCCTGTGAGACACCTGTTTCTGCTTCTTCGGGTGGTGGTGTCAGGGGAGGGAGGAGTGAAAGCTTCCACTAACTCAGGCCCTGCTGTTCTGCCCTGGCTTTATGTGTCTGTCTCTGTAACAGGTTTATTCTGTTGGGTTCATTCACTGTAGGGCTTTAGAGGAAAAAAAGTAACCCCTGGTGCTTTGGCAGTGTGCGGAGAGAGGGAGGCACCCTGTGTTTGGTCTGAGCAGGGTGTCTGGGTTGCCTCCAGAGAGAGATGGGATGAACTGTCCTTCAAAATAACCCCTGAAAAACTTCTCAGGAGGGGTTTGGGTGGCCAGCATGGAGTGGGTGGCTGAAGCTGGCGACAAACCCCTCCTTTAGCCAGCACAAGAGCTGTGTTTGCTGTGCTGGGTGCTGTGTGCGGCAGGAGGGAGGGATAAACACCAAACCATTCAGCCTGTGTTGAGCAACGTGTGTCACCTAACGACATTCAGAACGGGCAGTGGCTGTTGTGCCCCTGGAAGTACAGTTAGCTCTGAAGGGCTCCTGTTGTCAGCAGTCTCAGGCTGTAGGACAGTGAGCGTTGGGGGTGTATTTACACGGATGGGCTGTCTGCGTGTGCTTAAGGTTGTTGGTTCCTCATTTGCCTGGTTTCATCCCTGTGTGCTGGGTCCCGGGGAGTAACTGCAGCCCCAGCCACATGGCCGAGAAACGCAGGTTGGACTGTTCCTGATGTCTGGAGAGAGCCAGTGCTTAGCAGAGACAGGAGCCCCACGTGGTGCCAGGGATTTTCTGGGCCGTTTTTTTGGTGTGTTTCTCCATTTGCAGCCTTTTCTCACCATTAGGGTTGCAGTGGCCCCACTCTGTGCTCTTACCGGGGAAGCCCCTTGTGCTAATCCCCTTCCCGAGACCATCCCTGATCGCTGCCCGCCTCAGCGTGGGAGGCAGGGGGCTAATGAACATGGGCTCCAATTTGGAGCTGTCAGCACTGCCGACTGGTTTAAGTCAAAATATTAAACTATTTCATGGCTGCAGTTCCACCTTGCTGTGATCTTTGTCATCTTTTTTTGAAGGCCTTCAAGCACGAGTTCAGCCTTCAGGGATGGAGCCTGTTCTATAAACCAACAAAACTGATCTAACTGGAGTAATATTTTACCACTTCCTGAAGTCAAGTGTCAGTCCTGGAACAGCAAAGGCACCTGCTCCCAGCAGAAGGAAACAGCCATTGATAAATGTAAATCCAGGGCAGAGCTCTGCTGTGCCGCTGAAGGAGCCCAAGCAACCATGGGGACGCGTGAGGAAGGGACCCGAACCCATGCGGCACTGCTTGGCTGGAATTTTGGGACCCTCTTGCTGCCCACAGTGGGGAACGTTCCCTGTGCTGAGCTCGCTCTGCCCAGGCTGTGCTGCGGCCGGAGCCAGGGAGCAGCTGCGGGGCCCGAAGGACCCAGCTCCAGGCACAGGACGCGGCGAGGCCGTTGGCTTGGGCTGAGCTGGGACCGAGCCAACGCGAGGGGTGTGAATGTACCAGAAGAGTTTTGACTCTGCTGAAGTTGCTCTTGTGACCTGAGCTCAGGAGGAGGCAAGATCTCCTGGAGCAGCGGGGGGATCAGGAGCCATATTTGGACTGTGAGTAAATTGCTTTGTTAGGTTTGGTTATTTAAGTATGATAAGGAATGGAATGAACTAGTGCAGAGGAGAACATGTTAGGTTTAAAAAAACCCAACCTTACCCTCAGTGTGTTTAATAACTGAGGAAGTTGAATCTGGAACTGTGAGCAGAGATGGCAGAAAACTGGGCACCCGATGTCTCTGTTAATGTGTGTGTGTGCATTGGGCAACATTTGGGACTCACTCCCATATCCACAAACTAAAATTAAAAATAAGGTGATCCCTTTTTTTAAGAAATGCAATGGTTTATTTTGTTTAGAAAATAAATAAGTCAGAAATGTACAATACAAAAATCCAGTATTATGTAACACCCCAGGGGAGGTCTGGCCTCTGCTTGGATGTCAGGCCATGCGTGGAACATCTGGTCTCTCATACCTACTTGGGCTGGGTTTTTTTACTTTTTATAGCAGCACTTCATCATGCATTTATCAGTGAAGGTTCTAGGTGTAACTGTTCTTGTGGAACACTCGCTGCCTGCTGTAGGTTTGCTGTGACGGAGTCTCTTTTCCAGAAAAGACAGAAACCTGAAGAACAAGTTGAGGGGTGAGTGGGGACTTTATTAGATCACACTGCAGTGTGGCATGCGCTTAAAATTTTGGGGAGAGAGACTGTTGCTCCACTCAAGAACGTGTCTCTTCTAGTATTGTCTCAAGGGCAAAGATTTTACCAACAAGAGGATGGAAGAAGATCCTTTCTTATACCCTGGTTTCACCTATTTCTCTTCTATGGCTGGATTTAAAGACACTGTAAAGTGGCAACAAAGGGGCTTGAGTGGCCAAATAACTGAGTGGTTGGTTCACTGGCACAAGCTTCTCCAGGCTGCTGGTGTCAAGACTTGGAGTAGCCACAGATCTGCTTGATTGCAGGTTGAGGCCGGAGGATGCCACCTACCCATTTTTCTTCAGCAGGGTTTAGGGGGGGTGGGGTGGTGGTGTTATTGTTTTGGGTTTTTTTGTTTCCTTGAACAATTTGGAAGATCTTATCTCTAGGAGAATAAAATAGCTGCAGTTCCCATTTCTTTTTGTATGCTCTCCTAGAAAGTGGAAGCACAAAGATGGCTGAGGAACCTCCCCTCCTCATGTGAGACACGACCAAGATAGGAAAACCCCAACCTCTGGGTGTGTTCTGCTGGTTTTGTGTTAGTGAGGACATACAGTGGCACGCCAGGGCCAGGGCTAAAAGAGGCTGAGGAGCATTTGCCATCCCATGTCCTGCAGGGGGTCACTTTTCATTCAGAGTTAGGCTGTGGGCTGAGACTTCTCTGTGATGTCGCCAAAGGGGGAGCAGGAGGCAGACTTCCCCCTCAAGGTCCTAAACACATATCTTGGAGTTGTCTGGTTTTCCCAGCAGCAAGGACCAGATTGTACAGCTCGCTGCTGAGCCCTCTATTGTCATTAATTGGGCTGGCAGCAGGAAGAAGCAGCTCCAAAGAACTGCTTTCTGCTGTGTAGATGGATAATTTGATGTGTTTCCTTATGGGCTGTACTCAGCTGTCTGTATAAGGAATCTTACAGGTGGTAGAGATGGCTGGCTCTTTATCTGAGCAGTAAAATTATTTTCAAACAGTTTAGAAATTTTGTTGTAATCCTAAATCCATAATATGGAACTAATTTAGCTTCATGAGAAAAAGTTTCAGTGACACTCTAAAACTATCAGATTGCTGTAGATGAGAACTCCTGCAAATGTGTGTATGATAACTGAACAAATGGTGAGAATATGCCTTATAATTGGGGTCCAAGGACTTGCCTGAAGGCTTGTGAGAGTCAAAGTTAGAACCAGCCTTGGAGAATAGAGGGGGGGGTTAGAAGGAGAGGAGGAGGAGGAGGAAAGGCTGCCCCTTTCCACAGAAGGAACTGCCGGTTTACATTGTGTGGATGCGAGTGTCCTTGTCTGCCTGGGGACAGGGAAGAAGCCAGCACAGGTTGTGCAGGGACAGAAAGGGCACAAGGTTCGTTCAGACTGGCCTGCCTTCCTCTCAGCAAGGCTGGGTGTGGGGCTAGAGGGAAGGCACAGGTTTTGCTGAGCCCCTGCTGCCCCCCTGGAGGTGTTTCAGGAGGGTTTATTCGGGCTGGTTACTGGAGTGTCTCAGTCACATTTCCTTCCCTGGGATCTAGCTCCGAGACCATGCTGATGGGAACAGATGCCTGTGATGAACGAGGAGGAAAGTTTAGAGAATGAAGTCTGAATCCAGACTGAAATATGAGTGTAGGTGCTGCTGTGGATGCCAACAACTGGCTTGGCCTCAGCCCCAGGCTCTTCCATGCTGCTTGAATACCTCAGAGCTAAGGCTGGGGACAGAGTGAAGGGTGAGCCCTTCCCACTGCTGCCAATACCCGGGGTAATAAAGTAGTAAATTCCTGAAAGATTTCAGGAGTTGCCCAGACTGGAAAGGGAGAGTAGTAGTTTGTCAAGCTGGTCTTTAACTTCACTATATACCTCCATAAGCCTTCTTGAAGTGGGACAGTAAGGGAAGCATCTCACAAGATGCTTGTTTCAGCTCCTGGGGGCAGGGGCAGGGCTACTGTGAGCCTCGATACCTCTGCCACTGGGATCTTTTCTTCCTGTTGCTCATTAGAGCCTCCTTCTCCCTCAGGAAGGCCCTGAACTGCTTCCTTCTGAGTCTCTGGCTCTCCAGGAAAACCTGCTTTTGTGTAGTTCTTCACCATCTCCTGCACCTCCATATTCAGAGTTTTCAATTTCTCTTCATACTCTGCCAGTGCCTCCTGCTGGAGCTGCAAACAGAGACATCCCATCATCTCCAAACACTGACACCAAGCAGTGGTTACCAAAATGTTCTCTGGGAGAGACCGACACGAGATGTTTGCACTTGGTGATTTTTGTCTCATCCCTGTTCCCTATGACTCCACCCCCAGCAGTCTGTGGTGCCCCTGAAGGTGGAAGCAGGGGACTGCTGATGTCTGTTACTCAGATTTACACCCCAGTTTGGTGAATGGAGACCCCACATTCACCACGCATCAACCTTGAAAGAACATGAATGTGTTTTGAGAGTCTGAGGAGCCTGGGGATGAGACTCATCTCTAAAGATGCATTTCCATCCCACTTTAAATTTTGGAGGTTTTGGTATGATCAGATGAATGTTAGTGCTGGCACAGGGCGTGCAGGAGCACAGCACCCAACTTAGATGTGCGTAGGCTCCCTTAGAGCCACCTTCCAAGTCATTCATTTTCTCAGTGTACTGGGGAGTGGGTGGTTGCAGAGTGACTCTGTAGGATGAGTGTAGCATTAATTAAAGAATGTGCACAAGGATTGGTCCCTGCACTGGTCTGGATTTACTGTACCAACAGCATTGACCCTAAGCTCCATCTTTGCCTTACCTGGCTTTCCTTCTCCTTGATTGTTCTCAGATTATCTGCCTGCTTCTCTTCCAGTTTCTGCTGATACCTGGCTGTCTTTTCTGTCACCTTTAACAAGAACAAATTAAAGAAACCCCTCAAAGTTAAGTTTTTATAAACAAATGCTTTAGCCATCTCAAGCTTCTAGCAGCAAGATGCAGCGCTGTAGAGCCCACACACAGTGTCACGCCATTCTCAATTCTGAAGTTTCTGCTGGCTCTGAGTGACCTGGGCAGGATACAAACCCCTGAGCACCAGCAGGTGTGTGAAGGGGAGGGGACTCTGAAGGGCAAAGTCTTGCATCTCCTCCCCTTCTGCAAAACTCTGCTCATTATTAAATAGATGCAGGGTTATGCTGCTAATTAGTTGTGCTTCAAAAAAATCCCCGAGTTAGAAATGCAAAATACTCCAGATCTCTGACCAAGTAGAGGGACTCACTAGACCTTCAGGGGCCTGTGGGGTTTTAGTCAGGGCAGGAGCTGTTTTCAGCTGCACTTTGGCTGTCTGAAGTACCTGCTGCAGGAGCAGTGTAATGGGATCTAATCACCCTTGAGCACTCTGGCTCGGTGAGACATGTGGATGCTGTGCATGAGACACCCCCACCGTGCAGAGAAGAGAGATGCTGTGGCAGACTGGCCTGGGAGCACTCACCAGTTTGATTGTTTGCACCACTTCCTGAATGTGAGAGTTGTTAATTTCTTTCTTCAACCTTTAAAGAAAGGAAATGTATAAAACCCTATAACCATCTGTTATCTTTATATAAAATCTGTTTATCAATAGCGATAAAGTGCCATGGAGTCAGACAGGACTGCTGGTGCCCACACAGACAGGTGTGTTTTATTCTCAGTGTCCTCCCACACTCAGAGGTTGCTGTAATTTTAGGAAAGGCAAATAAAACATCATTCAAATTCGACTGAGGCATAAGATGAATAATTGGATGCAAAATTCTATTTTTTCAGCTTAAAGGACAGCAAAAAGACCTTTCTGTAAGCCAGAGGCAAAGGAGGTAGCATAGTCCCCTTCTGTACCCAGGGACAGGTGAAGCTGTCACGACTGACTGGTGTCACAAGTACCTGAAGAGGCGGTTTTGGGAGCAGAGGATTCTTTTGATGGAAAGCTGCAGGCATTATGTGGCTAAACACAACCTCTGGAGTGATCAGACACGTTCTAGAGAGGCTGGGGAAGACCTGCCTTTGATTCCAGGGGCAGAGAGATACCCACCAAGGCTAGAGGGGAGGCAGGAGGCATTTGGGAGGGCTTCAGCTGAAGCTGAAGGGACTGGAAGATGCATCATCCCATCAGCAAACAACTTACACATCATGTCAGAGAGCCAGAGGGGCAGCTGTGTGGGACACTTGTCTTCAAGGTATAATTTCCCCCTCTGGAATCATTCCCCTGCATTTCCCTAGGAGCTCCTATGCCCTGTGGCAGGGCAGGGGGCATTTCAAAGGCCCTGCTCCTGCAGTAAATCCAGGCAGTGAAACCAATTTTTCTGACTGCCTTGCACAAAAAAAAAAAAAAAATTAAGCCTACAGAGAAAGCTCTGGAGGCCACTGTCAGCAGTGACTGCGGGAATGTCAGCGCTCAGCTGGGGAGCAGATGGTTGGCTTCGCTGCGTCTCTGCCTGTGTCCTGGGACGCGATGCAGAACAAACACTACGCTGGGAGCGCGGGCAGCCCCGTGCACCTTCTCCCCCACCCCTCCCTGCAGCTCTGCCACCACCTGAGGGGCAAGGGGCAGCTGCAAAAGTTTTCCCATGGTGCCAGGGACTGGTGTAGCACTGTCCCCTGCCCAGAGCAGGACAGCTCTGCCCAGAACCATCTACCCCAGTACCTCTCCTGAGCAGCCTTGTCACTGGTGTTCCTCATCATGGTCTGGATTCGGTCCACTCGCTTTGCCTCTAGCCTCTTCTTGATGTCTTTAATATTGCTGTGGGGAGAGGGGTGTGCTGTGAGAGGGAGGGATGGTTACAGACCCCAGAGACTGAAGCAGCACTCTGCTCTCTGGAGTGCTCTACTGTTTAGGAAAGCAAAGTTTCAGTGATTGTGCAGCAGAAAGCCCTAAGTGTTAAGCATATTTTAAGTCCTGTAACCTTTTTTTTAAAGGGAGTCATAACAAAGGGACAAGAGAAAAATACATGTTATGTAATTAGGTTGCATTGTGTACCTACACTGGGTTCCTCTTGAGCAGCAGCAGACCTGCTGAAAGTACTTTCACTGCTAAATTGAAGGAAAAAAAAAAACAACAACCCACCAAACTACATGTCTGTAGAGCAGACCTAAAAAGAAGACCTAAACCAAGCAGAAAGGCACTAAACTATGGGATGTGACTCGCAATGCAGAAACCATAAACACTTAAAAGTCATTTGATCAAACAGTAAGAAAGATGAAGAGAACGAAACCTACACACTGTGCCCCTGACAGAAGCACAGGGGCCATCACAAAAGCTACCTGCAGGCTGGGGAAGGTGATGAGACAGAGGAAGGTGTCGCTGTCAGGGCATCAGAGGCTGCTGGCCCAGCACCTCATCTTGGCCCCCCACGTTCAACGTGGTCACGAGAGGATGCAGCTAAGGGGGATGCTTCAGAGACATGTAAGAAAAAACACGTGTAGGATGATCCTCCCCCTCTGCCCCCTTCCCAGTTTACAGTCTATCCTCCAGCTTCTGTGCATTTATTTGCCATGAATGTCTCTGCTTTTGGACTTCATAGCTCCTTGCCCTGAGAGGAAAAGAACTTCATTTATATGCTGTGTGACAGTACTCCCTGAGAACTTCACTGGGTGCCCCACATTTCTCCTCATACGAGAAACAGTGAGTAATCACTTCCCTATTCTTCTTCTCCATACCATTCATGATTTTACACACTTCTGTCACATCCCCCTCAATCATCTGTTCTCCAAGCTGAGTCCTATTTAATTTCTTTCTGTGCAGAAATTACTCCTCACTGCTGACTGTCCTTGCCACCCCCTTCTTGCTCTTTCAAAGCTTTTTGTTCTAGATGGCATACTGAAAAGGTGACATAATGCTGATTTTGAATTATTTTTTTTTTATTTCCATACAATTCCAAAAAATTTATTTGCCACTCTGGCCACTGTAGAGCTGTGAATGATGAGCTATCCGAGAGGAGTATCCACCACAGCAGCAGATCTCTTCCCTGAGCGACAATAGCTCACCCCTGTGTACAGTGGAGCTATGGTTAGGGTTTTTTCCATTCACATTATTTTGTATTTATTCATACTGAATTTAACTGCCATATTATTGCCTGTTGCTCAAAATCTGTGGGATCAAGGCATCCTCAACACATTCCCCGCTGACACTGAGCAGTGTGGTGCGGTCAACACGCTGAGGGAGGGGATGTGCCGTCCCCCTGGACCTCCACAGGCTGGAGAGGGGGGAGGGGCAAACCTCACTGAGTTCAGCGAGGCCAAGTGCAAGGTCCTGCCCATGGTCAGGGCAATCCCCAGCACAAACCCAGACTGGGCGAGGAGTGGCTGGAGAGCAGCCCCGAGGAGGAGTTGGGAGTGTAGATGGAAAACTGCCTGTGAGCCAGCCACGTGTGCTGGGCTGCACCCAGAGCAGTGTGGGCAGCAGGGCAAGGGGGGGGATTCTTCCACTCTCAGGAGACCCCCCTACAGTGCTGGGCCCAGCTCTGGGGGCACCAACAGCAGAAAGACATGGACCCTGCTTGAATGGGGCCAGAGGAGGCCATGGAGATGCTCAGGGGGGCTGGAGCCCCTCCTCTGTGAGGACGGTCTGAGAGAGTTGGGGGGTTCAGCTGGAGAAGAGAAGGTTCTGGGGAGACCTTAGAGCGGCCTCCCAGGGCTGAAAGGGGGGAGGGACTCTTGATCAAGGGGGGTGTATGGATAGGACAAGGGGTAACGGGTTTAAACTGACAGAGGGGAGATTCAGGTGAGATCTAAGGAAGAAATTCTTCCCTGTGAGGGTGGTGAGGCCCTGGCACAGGCTGCCCAGAGAAGCTGTGGCTGCCCCCTCCCTGGAAGGGTTCAAGGCCAGGTTGGATGGAGCTTTGAGCAACCTGGGCTAGTGGAAGGTGTCCCTGCCCATGGCAGGGGGTTGGCACTGAGTGATCTTTAAGGTCCCTTCCTACCCAAACCAGTCTGTGATTCTATGACGATCTTTAAATCTTTCTACAGCTCCTCACAGGCAGCTGTATATGTGACTGTACTGAATGACACATTGTTAACAAACCCTTACCCAGGTACCCAACCTCTGGTTCTTAGTCTTGCCTGAATACACTGAATAGCTGAGAGAAACGGAGAATCTGATTTGATGGAGGACACAAAAAGAGGAAGTTTTGCCTGACACAGCAACTAAAGGCTGAGAGAAGACTTAATGGAAGGGAGGAATGAATGAGGACTTTAGCTTCAGGACAGTATTTTGGAGACAAATGGATAAATGCCTGGCTAGAAGTTGTTGAATTGCTTCTGCCAGTTTAAGTACTGAAGCCAATTCACTTCGAAGACTAAGCTGAGCAGTCTCTGGAGGGGATTGTGGGTGAGGTACTGACTGCAGAGAGAGAAGTGACATCCAGTGACCAGCAGTTATTTCCTATCTTTCTGAATTAGTCAAGGCAGTGCTGCAGCTTGAACACTTGTACCCTGCCTGGTGCCTCGTGGCAGGAATACTCTTCTGAGATCACAAGACAAGAGTTCTTCCCACCACTGCCCCCATGTCATGTTGCTGTGTCTTTCTCATCGAAGTAAAAGAAATGCTTCTGGTCCCCTGGATTCACTCACTGCCTGCAGTGCAGTGCCAAGAGATCCAGCAGGAAGTGCTACCCCAGAGAAGAGCTGTGTGTTATTACTTTGTTATCCCAACACTAAATTTACCTTTCTGATGACTCCTTCAGTGCCTTCAGCTCAGCAGTCTGCTTCTCTCTGGCTAGCTCTATTATCTTGGTAACTTGCTGTTCAAGGGATGAAAACAAGGTCAAAACCAAACCAAGATGAGACACAGTGCACCATCCGTATTGAATTACCCCCAGATTCAGCTTTAGCCCTCCCTGCACTGAATTCCAGGGCCCAGCTAACCCACGAGGCTTTGTGCAAAGCTGCACATCACCACAGCGAGTTCATGCCCCAAGGCTCCAAGGGCTGCTCTGAGCCATCGCCCACCGCAGGGTTATGGCGACAGACAGCTTCCCAGCTCTGTGCAGGAGGCAGCACCAGATGCACTGCACTTGGGGGTCTGTCCTTCTAAATAACAGAAGCTAGCAGTGAGGAGATGGCCTTGTGTCATGTGGAAACAAAGTTCTGTGGAAATTCCTGGCAGAGGAAGTGCCAGTGCAGTGAGACCGGCCTGCACTGCTGCCTGCTGAGACACAGCTGGGAAGGGAAAGCCCTGGCTGCTGCCCTACCTGCTGTGCAGTCAGAACTCAAGGGTTTTATTTCTTTTTTGTAGCTTTGCCCACTAAATCTCACGGTCTTTGGCAGAGTTGTGAGACAAGGATATTTTACTCCTCTGGCTTCTCTCTCTGGTGATAAGCAGGATTTCCAGGTAAGCTGGTTCTCAGGAGGCAGTTTTTTCCCCTTAGGGTTGGTATAGGCTGGACCAGCCAGTCTTGTAGGCAGCTTGCAAGGGAACCTAAGATTTAAGACTCATGATGCAAACTCCTCTGGAAAATAATGATAGGAAAAGGCCTCCAAATCCTGGAATTGTCTCTCTTTCATTGGAACAGAGGGTGCATCCCACAGTTGTTACCACCATCATGGCCTGCACCTTGTCTCCAGGCATTAACTGTGGCCTTGGCTGGGGTCTGAGGGGGCAGGGAACACAGGTTCACTTGCAGGACTCACAGGAAACACCCTACATCGATGCTCAGTCTGACTTCTGTTAACTCAAACAGCAAAACACTTCCCAGATTTCCAGCCCTGCTCAGTGCCAAGGGGTGGTCCCAGGAGCACTGTCCCCCATAAGGCTTTTGTGTTATTAGCACAGATGAGGCAAGGGCAGGCATGGAACACACTGGGGGGCTGCTCTGTCCCTATGCCTCAGCTGTCCTGCTGGGGTGATGGCAGAGAGCACGGCTGTCCTTGCAGCTTGACTCTAACACTGATGGTTGTCACTGGTGAACCGACAACATGCCTGCATGTCACCCAGCTCACAGGGTACACCAGCTCACAGGGAGCTGTGGTCCAGCCTCCTGTACCCCTGCTCCTAGAGAGCTGGCACCTGGCCACCTATGAAGCCAGTAAAGGCCACTTAACTCCAAGCTAAGCTATCAGAAGAGTTTAAGCAGATGGAGCCTGATGTGCTCCAGGGCAGTGCTTGCTCAATTTTTTTCAAATTACAGACCTATAAAAATGTTTCTGCTAGATTCTTACAGCTTCTAACAAATAAATCTCATTGTCCACATTCTCAATTGTCTTGCATGGACCTGACAGTTGCTCTGAGGGGTGTTTTCTGCCCTGGGGCCACACTTCTGATCTCAGAGTTTAGTGAGGAACTTGGGTTTTCAGGCTGTCCTTGCAGGGGCTCTCCTAGACTACATTTTCTGTGGACAGCTGCAGTCCTTACCTCTGTGGCATGCTGCTCCTTCCTTCTCCGAATCCCATCGTGGTGCTCCTCCCCCAGGTGGATGAGGTCCAGCTCCAGCCTCTCTCTCAGTTCCAAAACTCGGCTATCAACTCTTTCTGCCATTTCTACAGGATTTGCACATGTACCAATGTCACCTGTTGTCAAATTCCTGCACAACAGACACAGCAGCTTCTAGAGACACCAATACAATCCTGACCTTCCTACCCACTCCAAACCCGGGGAGATGGGGCTGCCCGCACTGCTCCGTGCTTCCCGCAGAGAAGGGCAGCCCATGCGTCTCCTCGGGATCCCTCTGCTTTTGTCTGGGGAGGTGACGCCCAGGCCAGGCCCTGCTGGAGACCCTCTGCTGTGTTTACCTCTTCTGGGTTTTCCTAGAGTGTATCATCCTTTTCTTGCCTCCATAGCAGATAGGCTCTGAAAAGAGTACGGAATATTTCTGCAGCAGCTCCTCCCTCCGTTTACTTGCTTTCCGCTCCAGCTCCCTCAGTTCCTTCTCCTGCTTCTTCAGCAGCTTCAGGAAGAGCTTCATCTGCTGCAGTTCTGCAAGGCTGGCTGTCTGAGGCTCTAAAACACAACATAAAGAGAGGCTGTTTTCTCTCACCCAGCATTTCTCAACCTGCTGAGATGCCTTTTGGGGTCAGACAGCTTTTTTCAGCACTGCCTTCATTCAGCTTTTCCTCACTCTTTTCAGCAGCTCAGCTCACCATCTGCTGCAGGCCTGGCGCAGGGATGGCCACAATTGCTGCCTTTTGGTATTTTGGCCAGAGGAACACACTGGTGGTGATGTGCCAGTCTTGTGCCTTGCACTCTTTTCCACAATTCCAGTATTCCAAAGACAGTGCAATTGTTAAGCTAGTTAGCAGCTCTAATTATAAGGGAAAAGCTGTTATCTCATTACTGCTTTTTTTGCAAAACTGAGTTATGACAGGTGCTTTCATCCCTTCCAGTTTTAATGCTTGGCATTTCTTCAGTCGTGAGGAATAAATGAAAGGGCTTTTGAGGTAGGTGAGAATGAGAGGGAAAGGATGCCTGTGAACTGCTGGAGAACTTGTTATCTGGCTGTAGCAAGTCAAATGTGGTTATCTGGGGCAGAAAGGCCACAGGGAGTTACCTTCTCAGGGGAAGTAACTTTTTTTTTTAGCTTGGAATGTGTGAAAATTAACAGAACTTGTGGGTGCGGCTGCTACACAACACTGTGCTGTGCAGGGTCATCTCCTTCTAAAAGGCTGGTGTTGAGAAACTGAAGCATGCAGTTTAACTGTAAGTCTCTCTGTCAACAAGTCTAGACTCAAACCAGAGCCCACTATGCTTCTGATGCCTTTTACCAAAGCACATACTAAAGTGATCATAGCTCTGTCCTGGAGAGCATTTCTCTTTAGGAATAACTTTTAAAACCAAACCAATGTACATAACAGTTACTTGGCAACATATCCCAAGTGCAACAGGTTTACTCTTGTGCCTTCAGTTCTGTGGCATAACTGGTCATACTGGTGGTTTGTGTTATTTATATCACACTGCATTAAGCCACAGAAAAGCAGAGAACAGTAATGTTCTTGCAGAGGGTGCACATGTGCTGAAGACCCCCCCCCCAGCCACACCATGTCTGGTTTAGTGAGGGTGAAGGGGCCGTCAAAGCCCGACAGAGTAGAATGTGTGGGGCAGCTCCAGCCTGTGGCCTCAGAGGGCTAAATCTGGGGCACCCAAAGCTCTGCCCTACCTGTGCCGATGCCAGTGGCCCAGCTTGCCTAAGGCATGGACCACGGCAACCCCAAGCCTCTATTCCAGACCTGCTGTGAGCTCAGTCCCAGCCCACGAGCTTGCCACAAGCCATGGCAGTTGTCAAAGGGGCAAATGGTGCCATGGGCAGGGAAACGGGGTCCCCAAGCCCAAAGGTTCATGTGGTTTGTCTTCAGGGCTGGATGTGATGGGCAGGGAGAGTTCAGGTCTTGGTTAATTTGCAAAGAGGCTTCATCTCTCTCCTGGTCAGAAACGGGGCAGAGAGGGAGTGTACAATGAGCAGCAGGGCCTCAGCCCGTGTGAGCAGCATGAGGGGAGTTACCTGCCATCTGCGTCACTTCTAGCACGTTCTCGTCCCTGGCAAACGCTGCAGCTCCTGAAATCACAAAAGAGGTTCCTGTTTATGTTCTATCTTGGATCTTTGAGTTGAAAACGGGTAGTGGAGAGCTCATCAAGTACACAGGCCACATGTAGGATGTTGGTGTGAATACAAAGGAAATTGTTAAGCTGCTGAGATGCTTAAGCGCTTGGGAACTTTAACAGGCACAGCAGAAAGGAACAGATTCTCTGCCTTGCCAGAGAGAAAGAGCATTTGCTTTGTATTAGCTAAATATTCCAGTGGTGATTTGGCTCACATAGCCTTGGTTTGATGATCTGCTGTGAAATTTGGGAAAACTGATTGTTTTTATACCAACATATTTGAAAGGACTCTAACCACACTGATACAGTTAATATGGAAAAAATACTGATTAGCTGTCAATTACTATAAAACATAATGGAAGAGAATGAGATAATTATGTGTATGGGGGGGACATGCTTTTACCTAACCTGAAATTATCAATTAATTTGCATTAGAAGCATGTTTGAGGAACATTCCTCAGATGCACTTTCACCAATCCTACACCTTTAAAGTTTGTTGACTTGTTTTGCAGGCCAAGAAGATGCTGGTATGAAAGGAGTAAACAGTGTTAGGAAGATCTTTCTCTGCTAGAGTTTCTTTAAACCTAGTAATAAACACTTTGTGTTTTCATTTCTGTGGAAGCAAATCCATAACCTTTTTCCAGTTCACGTGACCACTCAGAGTTCAAGTAGTTTCTGCCCTTGTTATGTAAATAGGTCCCCATTTAATCTAGCAGTCAAAGCACAGGACTGCTCCGTTTCCATTCTCACAGAATACCAGATGGGGAACCTGTTCTCTCTGAACTTGCAGTGGATCTTATAAAGAGCTTGGTGTTCATTTGAGCTGATGAATAAAATTACTGATCTCTAAAGCTCCCAAGTATTATACTACTGGACTCTGGTGCAAGTGCCATTTCACAAGATAAGAGAGTTTTCAAGGGATCTAAACATACTTTAAATGTCAGAAATCAACAGTAATCTCCAGAAAGAAACCCTTGAAAAGAACAAAGTAGTGAAGAGCAGTGAGGTATTATGGGACAAAACCAAGCCAGATCTTAAAACCTTTGTCTCGCAAATATCCAGAATTATCAGGTCTTTGCCCAAAATCAGTATCAACCCCCCAGTTTCACACTCAAGATGAGAGGCTACACCTCTGCCCCAGCCCGCTTCTTCCTTGGACAGCGGTTCCCTCTTAACACAGTTATCTTCAGGGAACTCTGTGCTGAACCTGAAAAACTGAGGTCCTCTACCTGCATCCTCAGCAGAGGTGCAATAGGTAGCATGGGAATTGCAGCCCTGCCGTGAGCGGAAGATGAAGTTCACGCTGCTGGGCTTTCAGCTTGTTCCCTGGTGTTCTCAGTAGGTACCTGACATTACTTTTCTGATGTGGAGCATAAACAGTATGAACACCACACTCACTTCAGCCTGAGTCAGGGGATACTTACAGCCCTTGCCATTAATGACAAGCACCAGAATTTACGCTGGTGACTTGCCCTGATAGTTCTGACCCCATTACCAAGAATCTCCACCCTCCAGCACTGGCTCTTTCTGGGCTTTTGAGTGTACAGGCTTTCCCTTCCACTTTTAGCTCACCCCACACCCATAGCTTTACCTGCAGGCCCATTTGAAAGAGGAATGCTGAATTTCCCAGTGGAGTCTGGCATCCCGTTAGTTTCAGCAGATGGGAAGTTTCTCGGTGTGCCAAGCCTCTAAAACAAAGATCAGAAGTAAATCAGAGCTCTATTATTTCAGGCTGAATCCATGCAGCATGTTTTAGAGACAATGACAGAACTTGGACAAACTTACCTCCACTGAGCCATCTTTTAGCTTGACTGATCTCTTGTCTTGCAGACTGAAGAACTTAATGGGGTTGGAGAGAGCAATAGTCAGATCTAGAAACAAAGAAGAGGGCTTTGCTTGGATTATCAAATAACTCCTTGCACTCTGATTTTCCTTGCCTTCTGCTCTCCTTCCTGGCCTAGGACAGGGAATTGTGGCCAAGGGATATTTGTACTCTTTACTTGAAACAAGCTTCTCCCTGACAGCACAGAGGGAGAGAACCATCTTCACCTCAGTCCCATCTACAGATGAGGGCTCACAAGTGATGTTCCAGGCAGCTCTATGAACCTGAGAAGAGCATACTGCTCCCAGAATCCAAAACCAGGTTAAGACTTTTCTAACCTGGACAGCTCCTTGCTCCAGTTCCAGTCCAATGCTGTATAAACCTGGTCTTTTTTATCATTATGTGTTAAACTCATCAATTTCACAGGATTTCCCTGTGAATTAGGTTTATTTGTATGAACAGGGCAGGAGAGAGTAAACGTGAAGTATTCACATAAACTTCTGCAGCTGATGCTGTTACACTCTGCATGACCTTGTTCATGATTGTTGAAGTTTCACTGCTAACAGCTCCAGTGGGTCTTCTTTCCTGATTCTGCTCTCTGACCATCCCCTTTTAAAAGGAAGAAAGCTCTATCTCCATACCAGCAAGAACCTCCCTCGCTTCAAACAGGGAAGAACAAAGCTCCTGTGCTCCCTAAAACCCTGTTCTTGTCAGTCCCCGATAGTTATCGCCTCATCACTCAACGAAACCTCTCCCTGCCTCTGAACAAAAGGAGTAAAAAGCCTGACCCATTCCAAACCAGAGAGACAGTCACATCAGTGCTGCACCACAGGCACGCTGCCTCGGCCATACTGGGAACCAGTCCCAGTCCCAGTGCAAGTAGTCATTCTCTACTGGTGGAAGTGAGGGTGTGCAGGATGGTGGCAGGCACTCCAGTCCCACCCTATCAAGGAATTAAGGGTGCAGTAGGAAGGCACCCCCCAGGCTGGGAAAATGCTTCTGGATCACAGTTTGGACAAAGGCAGAGCACCCGCCGCACGCTCGCAGGCGCAGTACCTGCCCAGGCATCAGGAACATAGTCCTTTACTTCCAAGTACACAAAGAGGGAAGGCATGGTCAGAGGCATGTTGCTTTCACTGCGGAGACAAACGTGGTGATAACCTGAAAATGGGAAGCAGAAGAGGTCAGCTGACAGCATCTGTCCCTGCTCGGCAGGGTGCTCCAATAGTAAAAGTCTCTCTTTACAGGAGGACACGGTGAATATTATTATGGAATTAAGGCAAGGCTGTAACAGGATGGATGTGAAGGCTCCACTGCCTACAGGAGTGGAGATTAAGTAGCAAAATATGCAGATGTTCTTATCTTCCTTACAGCTTCCAATGGATACATCTCAAGGGCACAAAAGCTGAAGAAATTTCCACAAAATTTACCTGAGTGCACTGCAATAACTGGAATGATACGATGACCAATGAACTTCCCTCCTTCCTCCCAAGCCACGATTTTGAGAGACGCCAGCTCGGGCATCATGATCTAAGGGAAAAAACAGAGTCAGGCACAGGTGTTCTCCCCTCTAATTCCTAACAGCAGAGTAGCTTTACGAAGCAAGACTTTACTAAGCAAGACTTTACTCTCTCCTCCTTCCAACAAAACGATGCCATCACTCCAAGGAAGTCACTGCCTATTTCTGCATCTTGTAATGTAATGCTACAGTTTATCACAGACATAACTGAATTCACAGAAACTCCACAAAACACACCTCAGAGGAGAGACTGCAGAGGATCACAGGAGGGCAGTTTACCTAAAGAAAAAATGGGGCAGCAAATTCTTCAAACCACAGGTTCCATGAAGCGGTTCACCAGAGAAGGGAATCAGCTTAGAAGGATAATTTAGCAAGCACGGTAACTTTGCCATGAGGGCTCTTGCTTCCCTCCTCCCCCATCATCTTCTGCCATAAAATGAACTAAAAATTATTCTGCCAGAACTGTCGCCTGAAAAGTGTTTTCTGAAATGAGGATAATATTTAACTACCGCATCCCAAGTAGGCTGAAAATATCTGCTGTTTCACAGTGTGCTTGAGAGAGATGAATCGGGCATTTTGCCTTTGTAATTTCCTGCAGAAAGGCCAAACATTACTATCACCTTGGACTTAACTTCCCTGGACCCTGTAGCTGGATTAGTGACCACTGAATTCTTATGGACAAACAGGGCAGCTTTCTGTATTCAGGCACAACTGAAAACTTCCCACTGGTCCCACTCCCCCTCCAGTTTTGTCTGTGTCTCATTTACAGTTTCACCACAGACATCCAGTTCCTTTCTGCTTCCTGGTGCTTGAAGTTTTCAAAGCTGATTAGTCAATTCAGTCTGAAGTGCAGCACAAATGGGAGACTTCTGATGCCTGTTATTTCCAGAAATGTCCCCAGCTACCCCTTGTCAATGAGAGCTGGTTTGGATATTGTTGTTCAGTTGTTATCTAAGAGGGCAACACGTAACACCTCGTGTGTCTAAAGCCATGACTGAGATCTCCAGAGAGGAGCCCCTTCTGTGGGCACCGACCTCTCAAGAGGCAGTGCTTGTGGCCAACAGCATCTTTAAGAATTCTGTCTAAATTACCATCAAATGTTATTACCTTTTCAAAAACAAAAGCCTCCTCTTTCCATACAGGGTTAATGGAATTGGCAGTGGAGGTCAGCTTGGTTCTGTATTTGCGCTTTGTGTCCCTTGGCAACCCGAACAGCTCTACTTCCACATATGTCTTCACGCTGCGGTCGGAGAGGAACTGACCAGAGAGGATCTATGAACAAGCAGAAATAATCAGCAACTGCTGAAAAGAATAAACCAGAACCACCCACTCACACCCTCCCCTCAAAGTCACTCTCCCACCCCAGAACATCTTTTCTCCTGCAGCTTCCAGGACACAATAGGCTTTTTTTTACCTCCACCCATGTTTCTTGCTCCAGCACTTCCTCCAACCTCCTCCCTCCCCATCATCACAGCCTTGGCTTCTTCTCTGTGGCAGATGCTAATTTTCCATTTTCATGCGATTATGATTAATTTAAAATAGTGAAAAGACTGGAAGTTGCTATGGTAACACTCTCCCACAGGACTCTCTGGGTTCATTTGCCACTAAGAACTCCACTGGGTAATAAATAGCAGGGACAGATGCCAGTTGTGTACGTGGTGCCAGGAACTGGCTGCCTGGGGAGGAGCAGCACCCTGGTTTGTACTTGCCGTGACAGACAGGGTACTGGCCACCACTACGTCAATGCGGTCCACAGAGAAGGGGTCAAACTGCTTGTCTGGACGCCGCATGAATTCATGCTTGAGCAGGTAGCCACACTGGCCATTGAACTCAAACAGAGCCATGTTCTGCTGCATGGGGACATCTGAGACAGAGGAACACAACGAGAAAAATTTCTGTGGGACCTCATCAGGTGGTTTGCATGCTACGAGCAAGCTGAAAGATGCTGTACTGTTACAGCCCCTGCTAGCCAAAGGCTCACAAAGCCATTTCAAAAACTAATTAAGCCTCTCAGCACCCTACAGGGAAAAAATATTACAGCAGCTGTTGTAAGAAAGGTAAGTGGTTTGCTTATGATTGCACCACAAGTCATGGATAGAACTAAATTAAAACCTACTTTTAGAAGTACCTGCTATTTTTGGGTGTGAAGTAAATAGTTTCCTGAACCCCTCTACTCTTTAGCCCTTTACTTTGGGCCTCCTCTCAGTCCATCTCCTGCTCTGCCATTTCTTTTGAGAACAGTCTTGTGGTTTCTGCACCTGCCTTCAAAACGATGTTCTCTCCATAACCAATCTCTCACTCTCTCCCTTTAAAAGTGGTTTCTTTTTCTCTCCTGCTGATGCTACAGCTAGTCTCCTACACTCTCTATATGTAAGATACTCCTCTGAGGAAAGGGGAAAAGAACAACTTTCTCTGGAGGCTGTTCTTTCCTTCTCATGCTGGTTGTGCAGCAAGGAAAGGCCCTTCTTCCCTACTCAGGGCAAAATGCTGGAAATAATAGCACAGACAGGCCAGTTCTGCAGGCAGACAGAGCCAGGCCTGCTGCTGTGCAAAAGCAGCAGCAGCTCAGGGGAAGAGGGAGCTTCTGAGGCACCCGTGAACACGTGAACTTAGTCTGACATCAGGGTACCCAGCCACTGGATGACAGCAGGTCTGTGCACGTGTGTATGCACACAGGTGTAGGCCTGGTGTCCTGGACACTCTGTGCCAGGTTTGTGCTGGGCCTAAAAAATGTGCTTTGGGTCTGTGGGAGAGAGAGTCAAAGATCAGCACCCCTCTGGGAGAAGGCACACAGAATAAATGCATTCCAGGACACAGGAGTGGAGGAGGAGACAGCAAACACGAGCACATGGCCACAGCCACGCAGAGGCTGGAGGATGATGTGACACTCACCCATGGTCTGGAAGTTGAGTGCCACCATCTGACAGCCGACGTTCCAGAACATCTGGGGCAGGTAATTGGAGGAGTCCATCCGGGTGCCTTTGGGGTAGATCCGGCTCATCTGTCGCTTGTTATATCTACAGTTGCTCTATTGGAAACAAGTCTGGAGCACTCTGTGTGTACTCTGGGGCTGGCTCATGTATTCAGATCATGAATTGCTCAGAGCTTTCCAGCAGTAAGAGAGGCCCTGGCAACACCAGGCTCCTTTCCTGTACCCTTCCCACTTAAGGACAAGGACCTGGCAGCCTTGGCGTTCATCACAGCAGGATGCATCCTGTCAAGGAGCTCTGTGAACAGCCCCCAAGTCTTCTGGGAAAATCCTATGTCCCACCCGCACTTTGTATCTCTGAGAAAGAGCCCACCAGGTCCTGAAACCAGAAGCCAGTTGGAGATGCCCCAGCCTTACCCAAGCTTCAGTTACTTCTCACACTCCATACAGCCAAGTACACTGGACAAAGGCTGTCAAAAGGATACTCCACAAACTGCATGGGGAACTTGGTTAGGAGATCGTAAGCCTTCAGCTCCGTAAAGGAAGAGATGACATAACTCCGGTTCTTCTCTAGAAACAGGAGATAAGCCTGTTAGAAGGCAGGCATGCCCAGCCCCCAGTCTGTGTTCGGGGACTGAGGGACCCAAGAAACACTTGGCCTGTTTACTCCCACTTTCTACCAGATACTGTTTCCTATCAAGGCAGTTTACCTTCCTCTGGTCCCTTGAAAAGGGACTGAAGAATAATACTCCAAAAAAGGTGATTTATGTTTATCAGGGAGACAATGGTTGTGCACTACAGGACAGGAACTTCATGGAGTACTGACAGAATTGGCTTGTAAAGCTTAGATGGCAATAATTTTTCCCTCTCTTCCTAAATTCAGTGATATTTAAAGAATAGCTTCTGCCTGGAGTTTTAGATCCAAGTAAATCCAAATATTCAGTCTTGCCCAAAGTTCTTTATTTCGTCAAGTTTCCCCTTCTCCGTTATTTTTTTCTTTTCCTTCAATCAAATCAGCTCAAAGATAGACCTAAATGTGGGAACTGTTTAGAGGAACCTATTGTGTATAAAGAAATTGCATGTATTTTCAGTGCTTCAGATGTTTCTCTGTCCAATCACCACAGAAAAGGAAGGTCAGTCACACCCATTGAGAAAAGCTGGGCTCAACCCTGCCCCCAGAAGCAGCAAAACAAGCCCACAGAGATGAAACAGTCTAGAGGACAGTACTTTTCATCCTCACTCATGTAACTGGGAGCAGGATCAGGCATCTCCCTGTCTCCTCCTCACCAATTTCTTACTACAGGGAGGAGGGCAGAAGGAAAGTGTTTGTGACCACGTGTGTTGTAGGAGGGAGGGAGAGAACAGGACAGAAAATGGGTGAGAGGAAATCACTAAGGCAGGTGGAGAACAGCAGCATCTGAAAGCACTAGTGGCCTGGCCAAGTAGAAATACCTGGGGTTCTGAAAGGACAGTTTGACTTACGGGCCGAGACTTCAAAGGAGTCAAATTTGATGGGCTGTATATAATTAACTAGGCTGGACATCTCCTCGTAGGCTGTCACTTCCAAACCAGCAGTGCCCTGAACCGAAAACAAAATCCAAGAGAAGGCAGATGAAGAGACCTGTGCTAGAGAGGAAACAAAACACACCTGGGCTTCACAACCAGAGGGCTTCAGTAGCTGCTCTGACCACAGCACACCAGTTTCTTTGGCCTCCTGGTCCTACACTGTGGGCAGTGCAGTCAGGGGCACAGAGTTTCTAGGTAGCTTTGCAAAAATTGAAAGCAAGGCATACAGAGAGGTATCAGTCAGCACAGAAGACCAGGATCTCTTTAACCTCTCAAAGCACAGAGGATGGGACAATGCAGAGACATTGTTTTCCCAACTCTCCGAGTGACACTACAGAGATGGAAATGGGAAATGGATTTTTTTATTCAAGGGAATGCTGATTTCCTGCCTCCTTCAGGAGCAGCACCTCATGTTTTGGTAACAACTTTTACCAGACTAAGGCTAAGCCTCTCCAAATACCCTGAAGGCAGAGAGTTATCTCCCAGTCATGCAAAATATCAAAGCCAGAGTCAGTAATAACAACTCTGCTGCCATATTCTCTACACTTGCAACATCATTTATATTATTCAGTTTCTCCCACAAAAGTTGTGTTGCATGAGGGAAAGAAAGTCCCTGATCGGTCCTAGCACAGTTCATTCCCCTTTGCATTTTGGATTCATCTCTATTCAATATGGTGAGGCCCCAGCAAAAAACAGGCCAGAAAAAAACCAAAACCAACCAACAGAAAAGGAACAGAAACAACAGTGACAGTACCTCATCTGACTGCATCTTTTTAATTTCCTCTTCATCCAGGTTCCCGAGATGTTCATCCTCTTCCTCTGGTTCCTCTTCAGCCACATCACCTGCCCAGACTAAGCAGACACAGCCACATCAGTGGGGGGCACGGCAAACTGCGAGCACTGAGAGCCCTGCAGAACCTCACAATCCATGCATGCAGGAACAATAAGTGGCAGAATCATACAATTTTATTAGCCAAATCCAATTGTGAACTAGTGCGCTCAAGAGACCAAGTCATTCTCCCTGCAGGCTGCCCTCATACCCCAGGAGTGACAGTCACAGCGCTGTTTTCCCCACCAAGGTCACACACACATGGGAACAACTGTCCATCTCTGGGTGCTCTGTAGCAGCACTCACCTTTGTATGACCTCATGTGCTCCTGCCATGACAGGGACTGAAAGTTCACTGTCCCACCTCAGGTTCCCTTAGCCCAAGAGGTGACAGCCTTGAGACTGGAGGGAGGACAGTGGGGCTGGAGGTTTGATAAACCTCTAAGACCCTCTGGGTGAGGAACTAGACCATGATGAATTGGTGGATATTGGAGAGCTACAAGCAGTAAAAAAAAAAAAATCACCCCCCCTCCCATCAAAGCACCAGTCAGCATGTCTTAGTGAATTACCAACTCCTGCAGCCGTACACCTCAGAGCAGGCAGGAGTTGACTGATGGGCAGGACATAAGTTGATCGTCTCTTTTGGTTGGAATAAAGTGCTTGAAAATATTCTGAATATTTAATTTATCCTCCAAGCTTATGCTGCTTTTTGAGATAACTGAATGAATAACTAGTACTGCTTTGCCTCAAGCTAGTATTGGGTGATTTGGAAGGTCTCCAGTGGGCCAGACCTGCTCATCTAGCTATACCAGTCCCATTTTCCCTTCAGACATACCAGTATCTTCAGCATCCATAAGGGTTGGCTGCTCAATGACTTCTGGTTCCACATTCCTTCCTTTCTTCAAAGAGTTCTGCCTCTTCCCAGATACAGATTGGTTCTTTTTGTTCTTAATCAAGATTTTCCCTAAGAGATCCTTAGGACTTGGCAGAGGAACTCCTGGCTTCAGCTGCAACAGATAAACTTCATGCTGAATTTTCACCATGAAGACAGATTTCAAACACTCATCCCTCCTGCCCCTCCCAGTACCATTCCTCTGTCCATTTACTGGTGCAAGGACACATCTCACCCACCGTACACTTTAATTTCCCCATCTGTCAGCATATCCCACTATATATATGCAGCCTTTTTTCTAAGACTTCACTTCTTGTTTCAGACCAGCATTTTACCCCTCTCAGGTTCTGCTCCCTGCACATGCCATGCTGTTTCCAGCCACCTATACTGCATCACAGCTAAAAAAAACCACCTACATGGCCTGAAGGCATCCACACACCTCTGGTCTTCACATTCCATCTCCTCCTCTCATTATCCCACAGCCTCAGTCCTAGATCAGCACTCAGGCCATATTTAAATGCTCTGCCTGCAGCAGATTTGAAAAAAAGATCCCAGAGTAGGTGGCTCAAGACAAGGATGTGTGATTCAGATGGTGCTCCTAGACCTGCACACCCTGTACAGATACCAAGAGGCCTAGTAATAATTTAGCTCATACCCTGAACTGTTTCTCACTCACCCAGCCCATTTCTCCCTAGCGCTTGGACAAGGACACGGGTCTGGCAGTGGGCAGCTGTCAGGTTTGCTCACTGCTTCTTTTCAGCTCATCTTTCGATCTCTGGGCTTTAAACTAGGTGCTTGGGCTAGTAGCCTCAGCTCCCTGCTCCGCTGTGTGTGCCAAGGAACTGCCTCGTGCTTTGCAGAACACAGGCACTGCCTGTTATCTGTAAATTGGTGTCCATTCCCAAGGCAGCTGGAGCAGCAAATGTGTGTGGGGTTCACCACAGACATCACGGTGCCCACAGAAATCCCTGCCTGGACCAGTGAGGTGATGACTTGGGTCAAGCAGAGTGGGAGCTTTACTCAGCTATTCTGAGCACAAAGCTATGCGTGGTGCTGAGCTGCCTGTCTATGCCTGGAAGGGGGGATTTCCAGGCTGGGAGGAGGATTGAGAAACATTGGTAGAAGAGCCTGAAACACTACTGAGCCCGTGTTCCTGTTTGCCAGCACTTGCTTTGGGAAGAAACAGGTCTGAAACAGTCCCGTGTCCTCTTGGTACAACTGGTACGGTTTGGCTCCCTGGAGCTTGGCCTCCACAGGCACTCAAGTCACAGGGTGTTAAACAAGAGCAGAGTCAGGCAAGTGCTCAGGAAAACCTCTGCAGCTGAGAGTTCTTCCCTCCACTTGCCATCCTGCTCGCCCTATGAACCAGGCCTATCTGTCCACAGCATCATCTCCTCTTTCACTGTCCTTGAATCTGTTGTGGCATCTCCTCACACCAGGAGTAACCAGTTTTTTCAGAAAGACCTCCCTCTTAGCCAGTCTCCTTCCACAACTTCCACTTACTGGGTATTTTTCCAGTGGCTCCGTCAGCAGCATATCTCCAAATATGGTTCGGCAGTACTCAGCCATCTTCGCCTGCTGCTTGGGCCTAATGAACACAGACCAAGCAGAAGCGAACAGGGAAACAGATGCACAAATCTAGAGCTTAGCAGAACAGCCATCTCAAGACTTGACTCCACCCATAACACCATCCATTGCCTTCACCCAGCCAGCCACCCAGATCCCGGAGTCCCTTCCCAGGCCGACTCCCATTTGTTCATACTCCGCCATCCCGAGCCAAAACCTTTGCTGCACAACTGTGGTCACTCTCACTCTACAGCTTATGGCTCAACTTTCAGCTCTGACCCCCCTCTAGTTGCTTCAGAAATCTCAATTGATGTTTCATTTCAGCTCAAGAACTCACTTAAAACCCACCAGCCCTGGCCTGTATACCTTCTGCTCTGGACACCAGAGAACACTACTCCTCCCATCACCAGATACTCACGAGTCCACGTGGTTCTCAAAGGACAGGATGACAGGGTAGAGAGATGTTTTAAAAGCACTTTCTGCAATAGCCTCAATGGCATCCTAAATGAGAGGCAAAGGTCAGAGAAAAGGTCAGCACACAGGTCAGAGACACACAGCTGAATGCACTCCAATTGTTCATTGTCAGGAGCTGGAACAGTTCATGAGGAGCTGCAGCCTGTGGGAAAGACTCATGAGGGAGAAGTTTGTGGAGGACTGTCTCCTGTGAGAGGGACCCCATGCTGGAGCAGGGGAGGAGTGTGAGGAGTCCTCCCTCTGAGGAGGAAGGAGCAGCAGAAAGAACAGGTGATGAACTGACTGCAACCCCCATCCCCTGTCCCCCTGGGCTGGGGAAGGGAGAGAAATCGGGAGCAAAGTTAAGCCCAGGAAAAAGGAAGCAGTGTGAAGGCATTTTTAAAATTTGGTTGTATTCCTCATTACCCTACTCTGATTTGATTGGTAACAAATTAAATTGCTATTTCCCCATTAAGTCTGTTTTGCCCATGATGGTAAATGGCAAGTGATCTCCCTGTCCTTATCTCGACCCAGGAGCCTTTTGTTGTATTTTCTCTCCCCTGTCCAGCTGAGGAGGGGAGTGACAGAGCAGCTTTGGGGGGGCACCTGGTGTCCGGCCAGGGTCGACCCACCACAGTACCTGCCTCTGAACCTGTCCAATTTTCTGTAATTTCACCTGCTTATAAAATCCTTCTGTCTAGCAGCAAACTAGATGTTCAATAACCAGCAGTGCTGACATTTCAAATGCAAATACCATGGAAACGTTCTCAGCATTAATGATGTAAGAAAAAACAATCATATTTTCCCCAAGCCCCTGTTAAACTGTCACAAACTTTCCACTATTTTCTTTTCTGGTGCTGATAATTGACATGGTAAAGAAGTGTCATTTCCTCCTTTGCAATTCCAGTCTCCAGCTCCCCAAATCCCAGTTCAGCCATGATCTGAGCACTGAGGGAGGCCGCCACAGCTGCTCCTCCATGGACCACTTGCACTCTATCACAGAAACCTCCAAGGTTCAGAGGAAGAGAAGCTACAGAAAAAGCTACTAAAAGGTCACAAGCAATGGTAAAAGAGAGGGGTGTGGAGGGAAAAGAACTACATATTATGTAAAACTAAAGCCTGGGCACACTCTGTGTTAACGGGTTGTAATTTCCTTGAGGTAGTCATGTGCTTTAGCAGAACTCTGCAATTACAGCAGCTACAGCTGTCATTAGTTCTCCTATCCGTAGTGAACCGCTGTGCAAAAAGCAGCAGTGGTACTACAGGATTTAGGAAATTACTCGCACTGAATATTACAATACCTCTGATCTTTTTTTTTCCCCCCCGCATAAATATTTTAGTAATAGTGAAGTGCGGGAACTCGGGGGAAGATACAGCATAAGAATAAATAGCTTTAAAAAGAATCTAAAGTGCCTCTGCCTGTTGGCAGCAGCTGTGTAAAGGAGTGCAGAAAAAAAAAATTAGTGCAATGCACTGATTTTTAACCTGCAAGCTGTTTGTAACTTCTGTGGTTAAACACCCCATTTCCAAGGCAGAAGAGGCTTCACTCTGTGCTTTTGAAGCCCAGGAGCTGCATCCCTGGGGAAGCACCTGCCCAGCGTGCTGGAGGGCAGCCGCTCTGCCAAACACATTCCCCACACTCCTGTAATTAGGAAGTAATTCAAACCTGTTCCTCCAAAGCCCCACCATGTGAGGCTGTAAGCCACAGAAACTGGCTGTAGACCAGTAAGAAGATAAATGCATTTTAACAGTTTGTTTTCTAAAAGCCATCTTGTTTGTTTCTCCAATCTGCATCCAGCTATGAAGCCACCGCTCTGGTGCAGTTTTCTGCCCAGACACCCATCTCGGTGCACAGCCCTGGGCACACAGGCACCTCTACTCAACCACCTCCCCATTGCTTCTACCTCACTGCCCGCATTTCCCTCATTTGTTCACTTCACCCCACTGACAACCTCTCTTCTGGTCCTCCCACTCCAAAACTGTACACAGACTCCAACGTGTTGCATATCTGATCATCTTTCCTTCTATCTACATATTCATTCACTTGTCACCCTGCCATCAATCTTCTCTTGTGCATCTCTGCCCTCAGCCCATCCATTTGACAGTTCCCTCAGCCAGAGATCAGTCTCAACCCAAGCAGGGGAAAGCACGTATGGAGAAAACACTTTCCATACCTTGAAGAGGATCTCAGTTGTCATGGTGAACCCGTGAGTGATGATCGGCTCCTCATCCGGGGGACGGCCCTTCCAGCAATCCAGCTCCACGCAGCGGCAGCCAGCCAGCAGCGTCTGGCGATACATTTCAGGAGAGGAGATACCAGAAAACTGACCAGCTGGAGGGGAGCAGAGCAGAGGAGAGAGGCTCGACGTTAGCTCTTTGTGTGGGACAGATTCTGTCTGGAGCAACAGAACTCTGCCATCCTTGAGCAGGTGTACGTGGCAGACTGACAAGGAGGTTTCGGTTACAGGGTGACATTTCTTCCTCTTTACGCAGCATTTATGTGCCAAGCTCCTCAGAGCACGTTACAGCCCTCAGCCCTCCAAAAACCAGGGCAGGTATGTCTGCCCAACTGTCAGTACTGCTCACCCCTCCCTGGCGGTGGCATGTACACATCAGAGCCGCTGCAGACCCTGGACTGGTCCGTACCTGTTAGATACGTGTTGTGTGATGAATTGATGAAGTAGTGTGAGAGCGGCTGGGTCATGTCCTGGTACAGCACCAATTTGTCCAGGGCTATCACATTGTTCTCAGGGCCACAGAGAAACCAGACCATCCCCTCCGGAGACAACTGCCCTACAGGGAAAACAAACCAGTTCATAGCACCAAAACAAAATGGTTCTAGCACCTCCTTACCCATGCTGTGCAACAAAGGGACTTGTGAGAATCAGGCTGATCAGTCCCTGGGAAAGTCAGAGCAGCAGAAGGTGCAAGATCCTTTGCACTTTTCATAGTAGCTCTACAGTGAGGCTTTAGGGCTGAACAAGACTCACCTCTCTGGATGTTAATCCCACTGGGCTCATATTTCTCTATCAGGCTCTGCACCTGCTCAGGTTTGGCTGGTGGGAAAAGGATGTCATTGAGGCGAGAGTCTCGCTGCTTCTTGTTGATAAACTTTGCCAAGTGCTCTTTGGTCATGTAGGGCTTTGCCTTTAAGTGGCTAAGGTGAGAGAATTACAGAGGAGCAGGTGAGGCCTGTGTATTACCCAGAAAACCTTCTCACAAAAGACTGGTCCTTCTTCAGGTTAACAATGGGTGTCTGTCTCCCTGGACCCACACACCTCTGGTTTGTCTACATTTTTTCCCAAAAATGATGCTGCCCACTGTGGCCTTTCTTCTTCCTCACTAATTCAATACTGTGAAGAGGCTGTACTGAGGGAAGCACAAAGCATATTTTGAGCCTCTGACTTGAACTTTGACAGGACTTGAATTTCAGAGCACACCAAATTGCTTGCTCTATGAAATCAAGGCCATTTAAGAAGTCACATATTTAGCTACTTGAAAGTAAAAAGGTCACTGGTTACTTGTGAGGATTTATGGTTGCCATGCTGTACGTGGCTTTGTCTGGGGCTAGCCACAATCAGTATCACAGCAGCATCATCTAGTGTTGACCTGGAACCAAGCCTTAAGAGTCCCTGTGGCACAGTGAGGTCTCATTCTTTTTAACCAGGCTGTGGGTGAAAGTGTTAAGTGCACTGCCAGTGTTTTGCGACCAGGGTTCCTGCATGTCTAACGCTTGAGACCAGACAAGCCACACAGCATAGAATCATCTCGCCTCTCCTTTTTGCTTATCTTTTGCCACAAGAGGTCAAGTTCTCTGCTGTGGCTTGAGGGAAACTTACTGTGAGGTAAATATCTCATCAATCTCAGGTCGTGGACACAGATTCATGAGGAAAGTTTTATACACGGTTTCAGGGAAGTCCTCTGGGTTGATGGCATCATTCTGAGAATGCAACAAAGACACACTGGTATTGCAAATCCGTGATGGCATTGACCTCTCTGTTAACAACCACAGCCCAGCACTTGTTTTTGTGACGATGCAAGGAGGTAACTGGAACGTCTGGCAAGGTGTTTGGGAGGGAAGGGGTGGAGTGGAGACACACCATAATGCCTTATTTCAGAATGGACAGTTATTTCAACTGTCCCTTGGTGCCTCTCATCTGAGTGTATAAAGCTGAAGCTTGATGCAGTGATCAGAGGCCTGGACCATACTCTGTGGGTTGGCAGAAACACCACGATTAACTGTCAGATCTGCTGCTTCAAAGAGCAGACAGTGAAACAGGTGGAGGGAATGTGCCGCTGCTTGTGCCACACAGTGAAAGGGATGGAGTCACAAGCATTACAAACAGTAAGATTTGATCCTAGCAGGCCTGTGGTTAAGGCATGGCAGCTACTGGTCAGGAAAAGTCTTCACAGCAACTGAATCTGGGCTGATGATTTTTTATAGCCAAGGGTAGGCAAAACGATTATTTTCAAACTAGCAAGACTTTTGGTTACATAGTGAAACCCTTACCTTGCCCTTTGGAAGATGACAAGCACTTAATGCTGCTTCTACCCTCTTTCTGTCTGCAGGAAACATCTGAAAAATACTGACCAGACAGGGAAAAAAAAAAAATCACCACAACGTAGCAGGAGTGAAATCAGGAAGCCTGGGTTTGGGCAGCTGGGAGCTGCAGCTAGAGTGCAAGACACACAAAATGCACAGCAAAGGAGACTGACAAGACGACTGCAAACATGACCCAGAGAAGACAGACAGCCTTTCTCCAAGGGAGTAACTCACACACCAAGTCTCACAAACCTACAGTGGATTATTAAGGACTGCTGCCTTAATACAGAAGTTCTCTATGTCTACTATGGACTCTGGAAGAGCCCAGTCACTAAACAGCATTAGTTTACTCTCAAATCCCCTCCCAACTGCCCTTCCCCTGCCCTCCTGGAGGTGCTCACGGGGTAGCAGGCCTCATGCCACCAATTACCCAGCACGCCTCCCCCCACAAGACACTATGTGGTAGCTGGCAGTAGCAAGGAATAACTTTGTAGTCAAGACAACGCTCAAAAAAAGCAAACAAACACTGTGCATGTTTGCTGCTTTGAAAGAAGGCAGAGTTTTCCGGAACCAAAGGCTTTCCATGAATTCCAGGAGCAAACTCATCACACAGGTGAAGAATCCGGTGTCCTACTACATGATGAAAGCAAAGTCTGCTGCTGCAGAAGCCAAAGCTCACCTCCAGTTTTGAAACCTGCATACTGGTCAAGCATCCAGCTTAAAGCAGCCTGCACTGTGGAATAGTAACAATAGCTGAACCCTCCCTGCTTTCAGAACATCCCAGGCAGCAGCAATGAGGTCTCCTCTGTGGATAAATTTAGATGTCAGCTCTATTAAGCTCCTGGCATCACAGCTGCTCACAGCCAAAAAGGGGAACAAAAAGTGCCAAGTGTGTTGACAGGTGGAAAAGTGTTCAGCGGGAGCTGCAGCAGACTTATGCAAACTCGGGGCATATCAGTTCCCAGGCTGCCCTTTGCAAGGCAAAAATTGCAGCACTCTTGTTATGATTCAAAAGGGATTTAAATGTCTAAAGAGAAAGGCAGATGCTATGGGGAATTTTCTGAAGAATTCAGACAGAGTTTTGAAAGCCTTACATATACCTGTACCTGGAGATACTGAATATTTTTATAAATCTGGCTCTTAATCTGGACTATTTAATCATGTAATGCTTTACACAGTAAAGCACTTATAGTGCTCTGCAAGAAAGACCAACCAGGGCACTGAAGAGAGGTACAGCCTGTACCAGATATTTTTCCTAGCTTATTTCAGAAGAATAAGCTGTTTTCTCTCTGCAGTAATGCTACCTTGCTTGCATTTTAAAGATCAATTCAAAGTACTCTTCCCTAGTGCGACTTATTCATTAAAGACTTATACATTTTTAAAAGCCCTTTGATGAATACACTGTTTTCTGACAAAATGAAATTCTGCTGGTTGGTGGTTTAGAAAACAAACAACAAAAAATGTTTATTGTTGAATAACGATCAACCATCCAGGAGCCCATTTAGCCAGCACAGACTTAATCTAGAATCGTTATGCAATATAGCACGCAGTGGGTACCATATTTATCACAGGTGATTAGCACTTGCCTCTCGTGATGCTGTAACGCTGCATAAACCTCGAAGCAGAGTGGTTCAAAACTTCCCACTGTATAGTCACAAATGCACTATTTGCATGTCCTTATTCTTAAAACAAAAGATAATTTGTGCACCCAAAAGGGAATTGATCACAGCAGTGCAGCCTTTTTCACTCATTCATGAGCTGAATTAGCATGGAGGAGCCCTAGGATCAGCCAGAGAGTGGTTTTACTAGGGAAGACACTGAGCAGCACAAAAATCAATTCTAGACTCATGCCAGGCAGTGCAGGGGAGAAGTAATAGGCTGGTCTTTGCTTCAGCAAAGCAGCCTTGGCTAATTCTAAAAGCAGTCCTACCCTGATGTGCAAGGCCAACCCCATGTGTAGAAAGGAGACAAGGAGGAGCAATGGACCCCTACTTCAAGCCAGCTAGGAAGTCAAGCAAAAAGTTCTCCTTTTATTATACAGAACTCCTTACATGAAAGGTAAAATGAGTCCTACACCTCATCTGCCTTTCAACTCAGGTTTGCAAAACAACCTGTGATTGGAATTTTACTAAAGTGGCTTGTTTTTGTGGATTATTTCTCAGCAACAGCTAGGAAGTGAAATCCATGGCTGTTTAAGGCAATGTCTTGCTGTCGATAAAGGCCACAAAAGGTCTCCTTTCCAGACCCAAGTTACGTCCCAGATGCAGCAGGAATCCTGTCATGGCCTGAATCCAGAAGAATGCTCTCTACCTCTTCAGGGCAGGAGCAGGCAGCTGAAGCCACTGGGCAACCACCCTCTTACCAGCTGCTCTGCCTTAGTCTAACTGAACACACAATGAAACAGATATCCATACTCACTTCCTAACAGGAATCTTCCCCTCTGCATTGAGCTGCATCTTCAGCTTCACCAGGCTGTGAAAACAAACAAGATTGCAAAAACGCACTTGTACAATCTTAGAGGTCCCAGCAAGTAAGGAGAAAGAAAAAAATATGCAATTGGGAAAACAATCTAAGAGTTAATTCAAAATCAGGGTCCTCCAGACCATAAGCTTAATCTCAGACAGAACCTGTTCCTGTTTCTTAGGAAGGAGAAACAGGCAAATTATAACAGCTTAGGTATCAGAAAGATTCCTCCGAAACATAAGATGTAAACATGAGATAATGATATCTCCTATTATTTAGCATTTCTCAGCGATCCCAGGCTGCCAACCAAACAGCATTACAGAGCAAAGAAAGACAGGCACCACGTTGTTGGGGTGAGTGCTGTGACTGTGGTGGGAGACAGAATTGAGGCTCAGCATTTCAGCCTGTTTAACACCACTCGTGTGTGTGTGACTGGCTCAAGGGCTTCTGTGTCAGGCAGTTGTCATGCAACATATGGCCCAACTACCAACCCCCTGCCTGTGCCCTGGGGCTCCTGAGCTGACACAGGACTTGTTTCGGAGGCTGCCAAAGGACCTGGATGCTAAGAAGCCTTTTCTTTCTAGTACAGACAGGAAGGGCAGTACACGAGTGTTTCAGAGAACAACATTTGTCAGAAATCACTTACATTTTCTCTAGGAAGGTGTACCGCGAAGCGTTGTACGTGAGGGGATTCCGAACGATGGCCATAATATCCTCAGCCCAGCTCTGGGAACACACACACAAGGCAGAGGCAGTTGGGCATTATGGAACTGCACCAAAAAGTATGAAGCAACAAACATGGAAAGGACACAGAACCATAGAACAATTTGGGTGCAAAGGGACCTTAAAGCCCATCCACTCCCACCCCTCTGCCCTGGGCAGGGACACCTTCCACTAGCCCAGGTTGCCCAAAGCCCCGTCCAACCTGGCCTTGAACCCTTCCAGGGAGTGGGCAGCCACAGTCCCTCTGGGCAACCTGTGCCAGGGCCTCAACACCCCCCATAGTAAAACATATCTTTCTTATGTCCACTCTAAATCAACCCTTCTTCAGTTTAAAACCATTACCCCTTGTCCTGTCACTACAGGTCTTGGCAAAAAGGCCCATCCTGATACTGCTGGGCTCCAAATCCCAACAACTGTGCCGTGGGATTGGCTCTATCACCCTCCTGTTGCCTGTATATACCAGCAGCTGAAACTTTTCCACTGAGCCTCCTCAGATATCTGTTTATCCATACAAAGCATGACAGACAAATGACAAACCAAATTTCTCCTACTGGTCCTTCTCCACACAGGGCAGAAGTTTCTAGAACTATGGAGGTACCAAACCTTACTGGAACATTAACCTGTTTATGACCTTGCCCATAACACCGACAGGTTCAGGTTCCCTGCCTTCTTCCTCTCCTGTTCCCCATTTAATGCCCCAATCCTTAGTGTTTCCCAGTGCTTCCTTGCCCTCAGGACTGGATACCTGGCCAACGTTCTCCTTGTAGGACACAAAGTTATGGAAAGTGAGGTCAACCATGTCAGGGCCAGATACAATAGTCAGAGTCTTAAGCAGGAAGGTGCTGTGAGGGTACTCCAAGTTAAAAACCTCTCGTAGCTTCTGGCACTGCAAAAGAAACAACAGATGGGGATGAAGGGAGAATGCGGCAAACTACCTGAAAAAAAGCAGGACCCAAGCCAAACTCTGACCCAAATTCAGAGGAAGCTTTTCAAAGGCTGCAAAATTGTTTAATGTAATCTCCCTTTCCTTATTTTTCATCTTTATTCTGGAATCTGCATTACCTGGATCCTCCATGGAACAAAACGTTGTGACTAACATCACTGTACAAACATGCCGTTTTGGTCTGAAAAAGTAATAACTGGAGACTGCTCTCAAAGAAATTCCTTCTGAAAATTCAGCCTGAACCTGCAGACAAGCAGAGGAGCAATTGGCCAGCTCACACCAGAGGTGCATAACCAGATTATTGACATCATTTATCAAAACACACACTAAGAAAGTCTTCTAGGTTAGAGTGATACCTTTTTGCTATAGCCTCAGTCCACCACAAGAAAGATGTTGCTTGGGACCCAGGAGGTCTACCAGCTTTAGATCTGGTCACCGGCAGGATGGGCTCTCTCCCTCCAAGCCACATTTTCTGCTAGTTGTCAGTTGCTAGAAATGCTTTTTACCATAGAAATTGCAGTGTCCTACAGCAATGGCTCACTAGAGATTTGTTTTGTTAAGTATAAGGCTCATCTGACTAGTCATACTTGGATTTCATCACCATATGAAAGTATTTATAGAATCTCTTTAAATTATTTAGCATTTTCTGCATTCCTATGTAAGGCGTCACTAAGCCAAGGTTTCCTGGAGTTGTACGGATGGTCCCTATTTATAATGAAAGTATAAAATTCCCATGTGCTGGAATAAAGCGCAGCAATTCGTTATCTAAAGTGCAGGATAAATCTGTAGGGAAGCAAACAGGGAGGCTGTCAGAGCACCTGCTCTTTCAGTAAGGGCAAAATCCATGGTCTGGGACTGTTAGCAGAGCAGGTCAGAGTTGGGAGTTTAACTGGAGCTGGGATCTGAGCTCTGGCTGCCTGCGCAAGCCCACAGCCAGACACACGGCTGAGTTACTGTGTGTCAACAAGTCAGAACATCAGTAACACCTTCACATGTTACATATCACATTAACTTCAGCAAGGCAGGTTTTAGCTAAATGACTTTTGTGTTGGCTATAAACTTAAAGCACATAAAGTCAGTCGCTGCAGTTCAGCTCATGTTTAGTGACTGTTAAGCTGCTACTAACTGGACAATGTCTGAATCCCTGCAAGTCGAAGAAAGCAAATTCCACGGACCCCAGTTTAGCCCAAACCAACTAAAAAACCCTAGACACAACCATCCATTTGCATCCCATTGCAATTCAAATGGAAACAATTCCATTTCTGCCCCAGAATTTTCTCTTTACATTTAGACTGCAACAGCAGAACCTCCGTAACAGCTCAGCTTCAGGCATTCCTCTGTGTCTGCACCATGGCACACGCAGAGCTGCACATATATTTGATAAAGAACTCTGCAGATTTTTTTTTTTTCCCCCACTGCATTTTTCCAAATTTCTGGAATGTTTGCAACTTTTGACACATCTGTAGCAAACATTCATTTTTATGAAAAACAGGATGGGCTGGATTGTAACTCAAGATCACCTGACTGCTGTTTCTCTCTTCATAAGAGCAACTCTCCGCTGGGGTAACTCTGAAACCTGTATAATCCAAGATTATTTGGAGGGAAAGAAGGGGGAAAGTAGTCAGCCACCCAGAAGATTTGCCTATTTCCTAATAGTTCTGGAATTTCTAAAATGCCTCATTTTTGCTTCATGAGCAAGTTTCCTATGCAGAAGCAAGCAGCACCCACATACCCACACCTCCTTTTTGCATTCATAGCAACTTCTTAATGGAGCTTAAACTTTTCATTCCAGGTGGCAAAGTGCTAGGATCTTAACTTCAAATTTAACTTCATCTTGTAAACCCACCAGCATTTTTTCAGCTTCCTTACCTCTAGGTGTTGTAAATTATATGAAGCTAAGACAATAGAGAACTTGTGGTTTATGCTGAGCTCATTTCCTGTATTTGTTACAAATCGGCTCCTCCCAGCCCTTCCTCCTCTGCAAGCGGGTGTCACTTGGCTCCCCAGAAGACGTTTTGTTCACACCATGTCCCTCACAAGCCGAACACTGCATCAGAGCTTTTGCCTTTCTCTGGCTGGGCTCCCCCAGACAAACCTGACACAGGCAATGTTTGGTAATGGCCTGATACCTGATCACCTTCCCAGGACGGCTGTTCACCATTAGCCTTTGCCTCTACAGGTTTTTATACACCACGCTCTTCATCAGCATTAACTTCTGACACCTCGGTGGAGTCAATAGCTCCCTTTTATGAGTAGCAGATTGCATCAGGGAAAGGATGATCTTGTTAGGGATCTAAATTGGTTCATATTTTCCCAGCGACTGCTCTCCTGCCTGGCCTTAAGCGAGTCACTCACTTTGTGTTGCCTACTCTACATGAGTCTTATCTCCCTCACAGGATAAATGCAGTGATGTTGGTGTGAAACTGAATGAAGATGGTCAGAGTGGACTAGAGACTGTCCAAGGGCATGAAACCTGATACCACAGCTCTTTCTTAACTTGTGCTCCTTTAGCACCTTGGTGCTTCAGCTCTGCTACGTAATTACTTAGTGTCACCTTGCCAGTGGCTGTAAAGGAAAGATAGGAATTGCTATGTGAAAAGCAGGACAACCACACTGGCCACGCAAATCAGAGGAAGGGAAACATGCTTAGCAAATCCACTTAAAAAAAACCACCACCAAGCAAACGGAAAACAACTCGCCATGAGAGCAGCTGAAATACAGATTCAACTTTCATTTCACTTCCCACCCTCCTGATTTCCCTAAAATCCTCATCTGTACAAACCAGATTCATAGTCCAGAGAAAAGCAAATTCTTATGCAAATATAAACAAAGAGCCAGGCCTAATACGAGAGACAGAGACAGTCCTTTCTCTACTTGAAACAGGACACAATGAATGACAGCGGGGATCCACCACAGCTGCAGAAGCTCACTGCACGCTGAAAATGTTCTGTCTTCATAAAACATGCTACACGATGCAGTGCTTGTGGTATTAGAAGCCAGGATGTGATAAGTCCTCTTTTTTGGAGAAAAAAGGTCTTGTTGGTTGCCAGAAGGGAAAGGGAGCACCAAGATTATTCAAACACAGCAGGTAAAGCTCACATCCTCGTTAGCAGCACCTCTCCATCATGGGATTCAGCAATGGGACCGACTGCTGAGCAGTGGGGAGGGCTGCCCTGCCACCGCCCGCACCACAGGGGCCAGCCTGTCTCTGCATCAAGCATCTCAGCCAGCAGAGGCAGGAAAAAAAAATATGCAGATGAAGCACTCTCATCTCTCAGTGCTGTCTTATCTAAAGAAACCGGAAAATGCAGCAGCACACAGATTCACATGGCACAAAATAACCCGCGGCATTCTGGAATCGAGCAGGAACAGACCACGAGGGAGAGATGCAGACTGTGCATCCTCAGTAACTTCTGTCCCTGTGGTCTAAGAGCCCACACTGCAGAAAGATAGAAGAGGCAGAAAAAGGGCCCAGCATGGCAAAAGGCCTTTATCCAGATGTGACTGTTTCCTTGCTTGGCCCCTGCTGCACTATTTATAAATCCGTTGCAAGCCACAGGCTTCTACCCGCTTCTCTCTGGCATGCACGCTTATCAGTTTGTCTCCAAACGGCTTCTTGTGATCACTCTTATTTGGACATCAGACTTTTCGTTCCATCCTGTGCTCATGCACATTGCTGAATCCACAGCACAGTGTAGAGATGGTGCTCAGTGCCCAGAGCTGCCACCTGCCTCCCATAACGCAGCACAGTGACCAACCACCCACAGCGTCTCTGGAGACCATGGCTCAGCCCCATGTGCAAGTGCTCCCCAAACACCACTCACTCCTACTTTATCATCTCAAAATCAGACGTGAGAGATACCTTGGTATCATTTTCTCCCTTGTACATGTTCAGAGTCTGCATCTCCGGGTTCAATAACAACAAAATGTGTGTGGGGGATGAAACTGTTTTATAATCATGACAGTCAGAAAATACAACTTCTGTTTTTATGAAAAATTATGCTTGTTTCAAAGCCAATGCCTGCTGAAAATGTCTAAACAAAACCCAAGATGAAGCCAACAGCCCAGCAGCCTGGCCTAAAAATCATGTATTTTGGTCCTAATTATTACATTCTCTGACAGTGTTCTGGGGTCTTGGTGCATCAGAAGAAAATACCAAAATGGAACAGCCTTTATTGTTCCTTGTTACTCAAAGGAAAACACAGAATTGCATTGTAAATAACATCTTGATCTGCTTCGGCATGCTGCTGAAGTACATTCAATAGCTTTTTATCTTGTCTCATTTATGTTCAAAGTCCCTGCTAACTCTTATCTTTATTACTCTTGAACTTGCGCCAAAGTTCATTCTGCCCTGTCTCTCAAAAAAATTTCCATGGAGAAAAAACACTGCAGAACACCAAGTAGCTCTCAAAGAAAATAAAGCAAAGGGGGTGAGAAGGGAAAACCTGCACATGCAGAGGAGAGGTGACAGGAGGATTCAAGGGCTGTGTGTGTGCTCACATGCCAATATGCTGGGAGTGGGGTGCAGGAGAGGAGAGCCCTTCTCAAAGCAGGTTCAGTTCCAGGAACCAGTTCCTTCTAGGGCAAATGGCAGTGGCCCTTTTCCCTGGGAGGTGGCTCCTATTGCCACCAACCCTTAGTGGCTTGTCCCTTTCTCAATGCCACCCTTACCACAGCATCAGGGAGGAGCTCCCCACAGGCCCTGCCTCCCAGCTTGCAGAGACAGTGCTGTGACCTGGCCCGGCCAGGGAGCACGTACCACAGCTTGTCTTTCCAGAAGCGGTTTTCTGGTGGGTGCTTTGGTGTTATTCTTCTTGCTGTGTATAGAGAGGTCACAAAGAAAAACCCCAAACCTCTCGCTTCACAGCAGCTGGGGAGTTACTGAAAGCAGGGAACCCCCAACATCCACAGTACCACCACCCACGAGCAGGAAGACTCATCTCACCTACACCAGTCTGAAAAGCTCAGGGCATGTTTCACCCTCACACAGCTCCAACTACAGCCACAAAGAGCACAGACCTTCACAGGGGCAAGCAGTGGCACAGATGCCCTACAAGCACACTCCTTCCTTGTGAATTCCTTCAGCCCCAATTTAGTGGGAAAACCAGACCATGAGCTTTGCTTCAGAGAGGCTGTGGGTTTGCCATGGTGTTACTGGCAAGGGAAAGGAGAGGAGGGGAAAAGGATGCTTGAGTTATTGGTATGATCCAAAGCTCTTCCAACAGCTGTGAGCTTGTTCTCGTCTTAAATATCATCTATATGTGCCCCTTCTCCTCCATCCTCAGCCAATGAAACAACCAATTATTTGTATTAATTTCAGCAGTTCTATCCCACAACCATTCCAACCATCCTTGTGTAAAAGGGGAGACAGCACCCTTTGCCATTCTCCCACCCTTCACCTCTAACAGATCTTTGTTTGCTTTGTCACACTGGTTTTTCATATTTATGCCTTTTTGTCATGATGCACCAGACGTAGCTGCCCTGTGCAGAGGGTGTGGTGATTCATGCTGAGAAATCTTCACTACTTCACTCTGAGTGAAGCCTGTTCTCAGGAAAGCCAACTGAATACACAGCTGAGGGCTGGCTCCAAGGAAGCCCTGCAGAAGCATCGTGGATAGTACAGCCATGTGTAAATAAAGCTTCCAGGACTGGACAGCACATCTCTCCCACCATTTTGATTCAGTGGCCATTTCAGTGTCCACACAAGACCTCCCATCATCCCGTAAGAGAAATGTGTATAAGGATCCAGCCTAGTGCATTTTACTACATGTTGTCATAGAAATGCCAGAAAATTTCCTGAAATAAAAAGGGGGCTTATTTTAAATGGGTCTCTGTGAAATGCAGAGTTCAAAAAGCACTTGGGATTTTCACAGCAGAGGTTGTCATCAAGCACATCATTTCTGCCTGTTGAGAATGCTTAATAAATCGTTTGGTGCTTGACCTTTGTTTCTTTGTTTCCAAAAAATGAGCTGTAGCCAATTCCTGGGACTGTAAAATACCATCTCTGGCCTATTACAACGGCTGGAATACTACAGCTACACCAGGTCAGACCACGGACCCATCCAGATGCCTGGGGAAAAGAACAGGGCAAATGCAATGATATTTTCCTGACACATTTCTGCAGCTTCCAGCAATTTACGATTCAGCAACTTCCTAAACCAGAGGCATTACCTTGCATTTAATAACCCTCAAGGGGCATTTCCTTCTTGTTCTGCCTTTTCAAACTTGCAAATGTTTTCATGACCCATACAGGAAGGCATCCCACAACGCAGTGACATGAGGTGTAAAAGCAGCACCTCTTTCTGCTTGTGCTGAACCTGCCTTTGGAAAATTCCACTTGATGTGTCGTTCTCACACTGGAAGAAACATTGAGTAACTGCTTTGTGCTCAACATCTCCATTCAACCCCTGATTTTTACAGCACTCCACAATACTACTTCACATCCCCCCTTTTTTTTTTGCCAGACTACATTATCTATTCAGATGCTCTCCCTACAGTAGCCATTTCATACTTTCATTAATCTTGCTGCTCTTTTCTACCTTTTCCAGTTGTTTCATTTTAAACAAGGCCACTAAAAATGCACAGAAATGTGGGTGCGTTCAGGTGTACACAGCAGCGTGATTTCCCAATTCTTTCCTTAATTCCCAACATACAACTTTGAGCAAATACTCCTGAACGCTGTGTTGATATTTTAACATACTCTCATGATCTTGTTTGAGTAGCAATAGCCAACTCAAAGCCTCTTAACCCTGATCCTAACCTGTAATTTCTTCTGTGTGCACTGCCTGATTTTTATCTGTACTAAAATTTATCACCTATTAGATCAGCCAGTCAACCAGCATTTCAAGGTCTTTCTACAAAATCAGCCCTCATTTTATTACCCCAAGTAATCTGGTATCACTGGCAAACTGTCTCATCTCTCTCCACCCCTTTTGCAGATCCTATGAACATGGTATATCACAGGCCCAAGCACGGATCCTTCTGGGAGTCTGCCAGTTCTCTCCTCTCAAGACCTTTTTCCAATTCTCCATGCATTTTTCTATGCAAAAATGTCCTTTCTCATTCTGTTCTTTGCTTATGACTGGAATCACACAAGCCTTTCCAATTTTATTGAAAAGATTTAGGTCTCACTGTGGAACACAGACACTGCTTTCCCCTCCTCTTTTGCATTTTGCTACCCTGGTACTGCTTGTGAATTCCCTCATTCTTTTCATAAACTTCTTTGTGCTTTTATTAAAATTCTCTTTTAAAAGGACATTTTTTGGTTTTCTCTGGATATGGAATGTGGTCATCCCCAAACTACTGTGAATTACTCAAACTGGGGTTGGTCTTGTTTCCAGAGCAATTCCTTGTTTGTGAGCAGGGGCTCATTACAGAAAGATGCTGTTTGAGTAGAAATTCCTTCTGTCTAGAGGCAATTGACACTGCATTTGTGCCAGCATGTTTCTCCTGATATGCTTCAATTAGTCTTCATTAATTAATTGCTAAAATCTAGGACATTCTTCTCCAGCCTGGCTGTTGCCACCAGGACATCCATCTATGGCCTCAGGACTCACACCATCAATTTATAATCTATAGCAAAGCTGAATTCATTTTGTAAACAGGTGGTTACTGGAAGTTTAAACACGCTAGAAAATAGTATCTTGTGCCTCTCCCTTAAGCTGGCCTTTCCCTTACTGCATTCTGTCTGGAGCATAGCACCTAGCTCTACAAACTCCAAATATTTCATTCTCTCAAATGAAAAAAAACCCACAAACTTCTGAGAGCTTTTTTCAAACATTATTCCCATAAAACAAATTGCAGACAAAGTTTTAGGCTTTTTGAAAACTCAAATATGTTTCATTTTAGTGAATTTCCAAGAAGAAACACAGTTTCTCAGAAGGAATTATGATTTTTAAGAATTGTGTAAGATGGGTACTTGCCTTTAGCACCCACCTCATTATGGTCTTTTGAAAAACATCAGCCTTGGGGAGCTCTGAATAGAAGCTTTCAGAGCAGAATTAAGAAAACAGCTGTTCCACTTACGCAAAGAGGCTGCTCAAGTCTCTCAGTATATATTGCAAAATCTTCCCCTTTTGCATTAGGCTGAGAATCACCTATGTTACCATACGGAGCCATTATCTTTACTCCTTTGTTTCCTTTACACATTCTAGCTTTACTTCAATTTTCTACTTGCCTTTTCCATACATGGAAAAGTTAAAAACAAACAAAAAACAGACCCAGAAGAAAGTCCTAACAAGGACAACTTTGGCGCAGGAAACTTAAATTACAACTGAAACCAAGAACAAAGCCCTAATTGTGTGCTTCCCTTAGCCTGCCACCCTGTAAGCAGATAATTTAAAATTATATTGGGGGGGGAAAAAAAAACCCAAAACACACACTAGGTTTTCTGAAACTACATTTTCTTTCCTTTAAAGGGAAAAAACCCCACCACATGCTGTGTTGGAATCTCACTGTAAGTACAGGTTTGTAGCTGCATTGACCCAGGCTGTACATCTTTGCTCTGGTGACTCAAGGCAGAAGCATCACAAGTCTCCTGCAAGACTCCCCGGGGTGGCTCAGGGGATGTAAAGGCCAGGCCGGGATTAAAGCTGGCATGATGCATGGCAAGGGGACCCAGCGCTGTGCACAGCATAAAACAAGGCTTTTGGCAGGCACTCTGAAGGGGAATTGTTGCTTTCCCAGTATTATGGCATATTCTTTCCAACAAGCTCATGTACCATAGTCCGGATGTACCTTTCGTTTGGGTGCACAGCCCTGGGGAGTTCAGGGACAAGAGTAAAGACAGCTCTTCTATACTCAGTTGTGATGTAAGAAGGCAAGGTCCTCTCTGCCTCCTTAGAGCAGAAAGCTGGGGTAAACTGCCTCAACTCTGCCAAAGCCCTGGGCAGCTTCACCTTTCCCATATGAACCACTGCCAGAAACAAAGCTGTGCACTCACCTTAGGGATTTTGGCAAATCGCCCCACTCGGGTATCTCGGATGCTGGTGATATCCAAAATTTCCATTTCCTACAACGGAATAAGGACATGGAAGATTAGGAGAGCCAAAGGAGGAAGGAAAGAAATCCATTGCTGAGCCCCCAGAAGCTGCAAAGCAGGTCTCAGTCAGCACGCTTCCCTGGGGAAGAGCTCTCCCAGCAGGACCAACGCAGGCAGGGAAACATTGGCTGCTGGTGTGCTGCCCTGGCAGGCTGGCTAGTGTGGTGCTGGTGGTGGTCTGCAGCACCATACAGGTTTATACGGGGAATCTCTACCCCAGTTATAGTCCATGTGTCAATACAACCCAGAGTCTCCCGTCACTGCTGCTCTCGGCCTGAATTCGTGCCTTTGAGACCGAGCAGCTGCGCTGGAAGGCAGACAGGACCACCTCTCTGCACGTCACTCCTAGCAGACCTTCACCTAATCTGGTCTGAAGCAATTCCCATGAGGACGTTCCACAGCCTTCCCTAGGTAGCCTGCTCCATGTCCTCACCACTGCCTAGTTGTCATGTTTATTTTGTTTGTTCTTTTAATATCCAACCTGAATTTCCTTCCTCTGTTGCTAATTGGTCTGCTCACCATGGGTCTGGAGAATAAATTATACTTGCTGTAGCAGATAATATTATTTTCCAAGATCACAATAAGGAACAACATAGATACATGTCTTCTGGCTGTATCCCCATTTTATTGTCAAACGGGATGGAAGTTTTACTCCTGATCCCACTCCTTTCTGAATCCCTAGGGCAAAAGTGGTGCAGCTTTTCTTCCTTGCTGTTCATGACAAGATCTTAACAGGAGTCAGCCAGTGATGAATAAGCCACACAAATTCAACAAACTACTGACCATACCATGCTCTATCAGCCCACATCTTGCCCCTAGCCACTGCGCTCCTGACAGCCTGCCCCAGCTCCGACAGCCAGCATTTGCCCACCACCCTCGCTAGCTCACACTGTCTGCAGATTCCCTCAGAGTATAGGAAAGATGCCAGACAAGCACTTCCCCAAGGATGTAAAACATTCTGTTGCTCCACTGCGGCTCTCAAATTTGTTCACAGTTTATTTTAGGTGTTAATCAATGGCATTTTCCAGGAACATGAGACCCCCTCCAGTCTGGGTTTCCTCATGTCAGCTCTGCTTCCTTACCCCAGCGCCTTTCCCAGGTAGTCAAATCCCTCATACCACTAACCCAGTGAAACACCTCACTTTCAGGGGTGGTAACAGCTCCCCTTGCCCCATTCTCTGCACTACTCCAGTGCTACCACTTCTTCATGCTGTCTGATGGAGACCTTACAGCAAAAATTCTACTGCCAGGAGTGGACCTTGAAAGGGGAATAAGCGTGACATACAGCTAAAAGGAGAGCACACCTTCGAGAGGGACGTGACTGCCCCCAGCCCTGTGACACTGTTCTCGGAGGACACGGCTGTGTGGCACTGGGGCACAATCTTCTCAGAAGGCAGAGCTCACCAACACACACCAGGTCTCTTGGCCAGGGTGCTGCATGGGACGCCTGTCTCTTTATCTACCATGCCTCTTCAGCATGTAGGTCACGAGGAGGAAGTAGAGCTGAACCACAGCTCTGCTCTGGAAAGCAGAAGTAAGCCCAGCCTTCCACCTCCAGTCAGCCAGATCTCTCCACCCCTTGCTATTACTCGGTAGCAAGGAACTGAATTATTTTTCCTAAATTTGTTGCCTCTCCCTGTCCCCCAACAGCCATCATCCTGTGGGTTACCTCCGGCAGCACACACCCACCTCAGCTTGAGAGGAGCACAACTCACTCTCTAGACTTCATGTACTCTCTACATCATTAAGGCCACTAGTTGGGGTTTTTTTAATTAAATTTTCTAAAACTCCAACAAGTCAGTTAATTACAGCACAGGCTGCACATGAGTTACACATTAGTTGAAACTGAATACATCTAGCCATTTCCTTTCCAGCTGCACCACTGCACTGGCTGGAAGAATCCTTCAGCACGCTGGCTAATGGGGCATTGGTACTGCTGTTCTCCAAGCAGCCCTCTGAAGCACATCTAACCAACCTCGCAGGTATAATATCCCAGCATGACAAGCACAAAAAGGCCACCCTCATCTCTGGCATGTTTGCAGCTTAACTTCCTGCTCTTTTCTGAAGACAGACAAATCTGGCACTGAATAAGCACAAGGCTCCCAGGTCCTTTGTGAGGGAGTTCCTGCCAAGTGGAATGAGTGTGGTAGTTTGCTCCTGAGCACAGAACTTATGCACTTAATGGTGTTTTCATCTTGCATAAACTCGAACTGACTATTTGGAGTCCAGGCTGTGAAGTCTTAGCACTTACCTTATTCTGATCAGTCCAGTATAAGTAAAAGCCCTTTGGATCCACTCGAAGAATCACAGGAGAAGCACTTGCTGTTTCCTGACAAAAAACCCACAACCCAACAACAAAAAACAAAACAAACAAAAAACAGAACAAAGAAGGTTAGCACCATACATGACTTAGAGAACCCATCATGGGACATAAGGTTCCCAGTTCAAATATAGATCCAGTGAGGTGAATCATCCTCTGACTTATGGAAAGGAATCAGGCAATTCTAGTACATATCCAGAGTAATACTATGGGGTGCTGGAAGCTGATCTCTGCTGAAGCCCAAGTCCCACCTAACACTATGCATTTAGCTAGAACTCCTCTCTTGGAGCTTTCTATACGATGAATTAAGAGAAGAATGTACCTGTAGGTGCAATTGCTGCATGTGAACTGCCCCCCCCTCCAAGGCACCTGCTTCCTTCTCCAAGCTCCAAAAGTCACCCAGGCCAAGTAGAGCCAACATCCACCCATGCAGCTGCCGCCAAGGCGCTCACACTCATCACTTGGGCTCTCTTTCAGAGAAGGGGCCTGGTAAGGAAGGGTTCAAGGAAGGGTCCAGCTAATACAGTAGATGAATCTGCTTTAGGTAGCGATTCTTAAACTCCAAGGACTAGCTGTGCACAGACTGTAAGAAGCAGCAGCTATTTAAACACCCACACTACAGGCACAAAATTAGATTAAATTATTCAGGGCTGATCCTGAACCCCATACAAAAGGGAGGCCCTTCAGATCAGAATCAAGGCATATGCTACAGAGGAGACAGGATGCTTTGAGGCTGTGTACTTCACCTCTGAATAATTACACAGCTTCTGCATGTTCAGTTAAAGACAACTTCACTGACATTTTCAAGAGAACATCCATTCCCCTCTCATGGGCAAGCCTGTGCTAAGAGATGAATTAGCATGAGCTCTTTGGAGACAGAGATAAAGGATGCCTGGTGCCTCTGCCAGGGTCCCCGCCCATTTGCTCATTCAGTCAAGATGACTCCTCACCGTGTTTGACCTCTGGTGCCACAGAAGACAGCATCATAAGATCTATCAGCCATTTCTAGGAAGGCTTCATATTCAATTCAGGAAGCTGAAATACCCAGCTACAGAGATGAAACCCATAATGGAACTTGGAAATTGTATTTGTCACTTGGCCTTGGGTTCTTCAGTTTGTTAGTGAGCTCATACCTCAGCACATCTGTATTTCCAGAGACCACCACTTCCAGGTTCAGTATTCTTCATTACAGTAAGCTGCTCATGCCCCAGTCCATCTTATGTTCTCCTTTCACTCCCTGTCCTCCTCACGCTGTGTTCAGGAGAACGCTGATCTGCACAGCACAATGCCCATGTTCCCAGAGCTCCCGGTTAGCTCCCCAAACTCATGGCCACGAGCCACGAAGAGCAGAAGAGGCACTGTGGTACTACTGAGGATTGCACCGTGTTTCTAGATTAACCTTATCTCCTATGAAGCAGCTTTCTTGAAAGCAAGCTGAGGCTGCAGTAAGGCTGCTGACAGCTACCCTCCTGACTGGGGACATGGACAGCTGGGGGGTGCAGGCAGACTTTCCTATGGGGTGACTCCCAGCACCAAAGGAAACAGTGAATTCTACAGAAGATGGCCTGGCTGCCAAACAGGCTGCTGCTCACACTGTGGAGTTCTACTCTAGAGCAGAAAGCAAGCACTGTCTGGTAAAATCCTGTATTCCATAACCTTTAACATTTTTGCTTCTACTACAACGGTTAAGAGTCAGCACAGAGCCAAAACCACATACAACTGCTCCATTTAAGAGGTCAGCTACTACATTGTGCCCCACCTTAAATTTTGAAAGGGCCAGTTGGTTCTTGAAACAAACCATGTAGTAGGACTTTACCTCTTCAGCCTGCCTGGCAGCCCCAGCTTGCTGGGTGCTAAACAAAACACAGATGACTTGCTCCGTACCCCAGGATGTTGCAGCTAACTCAGAGATCCTACTGCACTCCCATCTAGAGAACACACTACAAGTGCTGGGCATGTTGAGACACCACAGAAAATGTGTGGGTTTGCTTTTCTCAAGAAACAGTTGGATACAGCAAAGGCTCTAGTCCAGTCTGAAACTGCACAGAGGGATGCAAGGAGCCACTCTGATCTACCTTCAGTCCTTCGCCTCAGCTATTGTGGAAGGAGCTCAAAACTGTTACTAACAGCACAGCCAGGTCAATTCAAAGAGTGAACAAAATACCCCACAGGCCCATGACCTCTAAAGAGCAGCAATCCGGCAGCCTGGGGCTCCCGCTATCATCCTTTGCAGCCTGCTCTAAGTGTGGAGTGGGAAAGTGTGAGGAGATGGAGCAACATGACCAGAACAGCCCACCTGTGGAGGCGGCTTTCATTACTGGTGGAGGTCAAGTCTGTAAACTACTATGTAATTAGACATAACCTTTTAGGAATGTTTACAAATCTGTAAACCTTAGGGGAAAATCCACACAGGACTTGAACTCCCCAACTCCTACAGTTACTGGCAGCAAATAAACACTTGGGGGGTCTTGGCAGCCCAGCTTGACTCACCCTGGGTTTCAAGGGAACCTAATCCCAGTGAGGTTCTTAACAGCTTCAAGTTTTTGGGAAAGTAGTCCTCAAGGACTGAGCACTGAAAGTCAGCAGCAATTTTGCCAAGTTTAGCTACTGTTACTCTCAAACCAATTCCCTGCTCAAAGTCAAACCAGCCTCAGGTGCATTCTGCTGGCAGTAGCACCACAGGAAAAGAAAGGGAAGGCTGTGCTTTCCACTGTACCCTGGTGTCATCCTCCTGTTTGTGTACAGTGGAATAACCACTGGCAATATTCCAGCCTGCCTTCCGCGGCACGCATCCTTTCTGTCAGCTGCATTTCACATTGCTCTCATTTCTCAGCGCCGCTGGACCACCCCTGCTTACGCTGCACACAAGTGATCTCCCCCGCACGCGCTGCCTTGGGACTCAGAACTCTATTCCAGCTTTACGCCCACAAAAGTAAGCGCTAATCCCTCCTGCGCTGCTGCTGGAGGCTCCTTCTAATGCGTCTCATTTGCAATACCACATCAAATGTTTTCCCCAGATCTTGGTGAATAATCATAACCTGGCCTGCCCCCTCTTTTAGCAACATTCATGCTCAGTAGCAAACTATTCATACTCCAGACAAAATGGATGGGCAGCTGCTGTCCTCTTGCTTGTGGGAAATACCCCTTTGCCTTCTTAGAAAGGGGGACTACTACATTCAAATTAACTCTTCTGCTGTTCCACACTTTCTTCCCTTCACAATGAAAGGCAAACAGTGACGAAACCAGATCTTTTGAAGATACAAGAGGATGCTGAGTTGGAGAAGCAGCAGCTTTTTGCAACACCCTCCATGGTTAAAGCACAAGGCCCCCGCATGCTCGGTAGCCAGGAGCCGGGCTGTTGTGGGAGAACACAGCTCACCCGGAGCCACTCCAGCACCAGGGCCATTAAGAGGAAGCAACTTGGAGCCTGATTTCCTCTGTATCTGCAAAACATGGAGAGTCCATCAGCTCTGGAGTAAATCCTACCCCTCACGCTCCTCCAGGCAGTCCGAATGCAGCATGTGCCCCTCGCCCCAAGGAGACCCCCAGCAGCAAGCACCTCCCTGTGGGCTGGTTCACACACACAGACAGAACCCTGGGGTCCTACACCGGGGAAGCTGTGCACACAGACCATTTACTTCCATCCTCCACAAGAACGAGAGGTGCAGAAGCCACATCACCAGCCTCTGACACATCCCTCAGCTCTGTTCTTCAGTTCACTCTCCCCATCCAGACATCCCTACTCTCAGGTGCAACACACAGCTCCCAGCCTCCCCTCAAAACCTGCCACCACACATACGATCTAGTGAAGCAAAAAACCCTGTACTCACATCATCCCACTTGATGAAGCGCTCACCCTTGGAGAGATACTCCTTCACCTCCGGGGGCTGAAGGACAGGCGTAAGCACTGACATTCTGTCCCACAGATGTGCTCCTCAGCTACCAGAAGCAAAAGCAGCTGCAGTTTGCTCCTCCTTGGCCCCCTCTCCTCTATCTCTGCCTCTCACATGGCAGGGCGCTCTGCCATGGCCACTGTTGGCATCAGAAAGCAAACAGCCTCTTATATCCCAGCCAAATTTAGGAGGGGCAGGGGCAGGCAGATGAGGACTGATGAATCTGCATTGTAAATCAACGGCTCTCCAAGTGTGCACGCAGAGCTCAGCCCAAGGTCACCCAGAGGAAAGCTTGTGATGGGTTGGGATGCCCGCGTGGGCAGTCACGCACGCACACTGGCTCTCCAGGAGGGACCTACTCCTCGGAGTTGTACTTGAAGCGCACAGTTTGTAGCGCTTCCGTAACTGAACTTCCTTAAATGTTCTCTTTGACGAAGTGCAGGCATTGCCAGACAACACTCAAACTATTTCAGCAGATGTGGTTACGGAACAGCTCAGGCTTCGGCTACAAGTAGACTGCCCCCTTCATGCAACAGACCAAATATCACCTAAAATAAACTTACTCTTAGCTCTGTAAAGACTCCACTTCTGGGGCCACTTGCTGCACTGTCCAGTCTAACTTTTTTTCTTTCTCTTATGGGTTCTTCTGAATGTCAACCTGAAAAGCGAGACAGACCAACAGAGTAAATTCCACAGACAGATGAAATAAAACATTCACAAGAGTTCCTGGGAGCTATAATATTCTCCAGATTCACTTGGGTCTGCTGCAAATACTGTGGGAACACAGAATGGGTGAGGTGTGTAAGGTGGGGATTATAATGATGAAGCTGCAGGGAAGTGACAGGAGGCAGGACAGAACATTAATGGCAAAGAGGGCAAAACCAAGCTCCCGCTCCTGACCTTGGAACAAAGGAATTCCATGTGGACCATGGAGAAGAGGAGCTCTGGTGGCAGATGTGCACTGGCTAAGCAGGAGGAGAGTTGCTTGCGAGAAGGGCTGACAGGGGAAAGGTGAATTTTAGTCAAGGCAGAACCCCACAGCAGTGGCAGTAACTGTGCAACACTTGCTGTAACAGGATTCCCAGCCACGTGGTGAGGTTTCACCTCTGTTGTCTCCTGTGAAAGTCAAGGTGTGGCACCTTCCATTGCTCGGGAGGGACGAGATACTGTCAAAAGTGGTGCAGATTCTGAGAAGGATGGACAAAGAAACTCCCAGTGTGCAAAGGGAGTCAGCTGCATATTTTGCTGCTGCTTTCCCAGCCCCGACTTACTCAGTTTGGTGAGGCCAGCACTTTGCAGCAGACTGGGCAGCCGGGGGAAGGCTGACTGAAGGAATCCTAAGGGCATTCTCAGATGTTGGTGCCATGAGGCAGGAGAGATTAAGTGGACCTATAACAAGAGCTCTACCTGTAAAAAAACAAAGATGGCAGCAATTATCAGAGATATGCCTGCTGCAGAAACAGAGAACCCTAAACAAACCTAACACCCTTTGTATATTTCTTTTGTGGGGTTATCTGCCTGACAAACTGGGAACAAGAGAGTTTCTACATTTCTAGCTACTATCGAGTTTTCTGCATTTACCAACACATTTTGCAAGGCACCATGCCTTCCAAGAACTGGATCTCCAAACGAAGGCTGTTAGCTCTACTTTATTAGGGCAATGAACTGAGGTGGCTTACCCATAGCTGTGGTTGCTTGGTATCAGGGCTGAAATGAGGGACAGGGGAATCCAACGCCTCTGGTCCCATAACCAAGCCACACTCATGGTATTAAGCTTCCTTTGCATATGTGTCAAAGTGACATGTGCTTCTCAGGCAGCCAGCTGACAGAGCATGGGGGTACTCCAGGCCTGGCCAAGACGCGCCCCTCAGAGCACTGTTACGCTCAAGTAGCAAAGCAACAGATGACGGTGTCTGCCCAGATCTCAAGGGCCAAGCTGGAAGCACCCAGGGATGTCAGCAACAGCCTGGGATTTGGCACAAATGAAATACCAAGGGCTGCTGGACAGGTTTTCTTCTCTGCACTCTTCCTATAAGTGGTTTAGGAATAGACCCCAAGGCCCAGCTACATATAGAGAAAGTCCACAGGAGGCTGCAGTGAGGAGTGAAAGTTCCCCCCCCCACACCTGATCCCTTCTGCAAGGCCAGAGCAGTTTCAGAGCTGCTTAACTTTGACTTAAGGAGCAGCTGTGAAAAGGATAAAGAGCATCAACCTTGCTCAGAAGTGCTACAGCTCTCCTGTCCCCTGCAACACTGAAAGAACTAAAGAGAAGCCTTGGAGGTCACAGCTGTGGAGAAGGGAAAGGTGGGATGAGCTCTGGTACTGCCAAGAGTAAAAGGGACTGCAGTTGAGATCAGTCACAGCTACTGGTTCCAGTGGCCCATCTGGCATTTACCAGTTACCATCACAGCTTTGTGAACCATGCCCACTTCCTGCCAGAACCAGGGCCTTGTGGAAAGGCTGCTTCTGACCTGCATCCTCTCACACCTGGATATTCAACAGCTTTGTCTCATCAACAAACCTGAAGTAAGCAAGAATCCTGACACAACTTCACTTGCTTGTTGCTCAGGGTCACCTTCCCCTAAGCGATAATAAGTTACAAAAACCCCACAACATGAAGAGCAGCAACTGAGTTAGCGGCTGTCCTGGGAGGCTGCCTGGTGCTGCACACACCAACTGCCAAGATCCCCGCTTGCATAAAGACGGTCACAAAAGCTGAAGCTCACTTCCTTTTGCATAACCCAGCCTCCTTATCATTCATTTCACACTCCTTACTTGATGTGGGAGCTTCTGTCCTTGCATGAAGAGACAGCTGATGGAACAGCGATAGAATAAAGCAACAGTCCTGCCCTCTGCTGAAAGCTCTGATAGCAGAGCAGGCAGAATCAGCAGCACTTTGAGCAGCATTTATTCTAATCTTTATTTTCTCTCTCCTGCAAGGCCCATCACCCAGTGTATGATCATCTTACATCCCCTCTGCTCCAGGCCCCATGCCTCCTTTGCTTTCATCCCTTACCTTCACCACTGTGTATCCCACAACCCACTACAAGAGTTTTGATGTGCAAAAATTTCCCTTTATTTTCTCTCCTCGAGACTCTTCCTTATCTCCCTGCCCTACCTATCCAGCAGCCTCTACCTCCCCCAAAGAGCATACAGAATCAAGGCAGTCTGCGTTACCCTTCAGAGATTTTACAATGGCTTTAAGCCATGCTGCCTATTAAACCACCTTGACTGGAGGGATTCTGAGTTTTAGGAAATTATTTTATAATCCCAACCCCAACCTACTCCTAGCACACAGAGAATCTGTAAGAAATCTCTCCCAGCATTGTTCCATTACAATTAGACTTTGCAATGTGTAACACTGTCCTCTAGTGCACAGCTATGATATTACACACCCCTTCGGCATTACCTTCAAACACCAGCAATAAATTCACAGCTAAGCAAAACTGAGTTCATCCATCCTGCTGCTTCTTTTTCTATTCTGCCCTCTGAGCCCTGGGAATCCTGGAAGGATTAATGACACCATTAGGACCAAAAAGGCCCATATTTTCTCACCACCCCGGAGAGAACTGCTGAGTGCATGTGCCGGGGCATATTTTGTGTCCTACTTTTGAGCCCAAACCATAAAGCCAAGGATTCATTACAGCTCTCAGCTGACAGCATGACTCTTCAGCTTGATCTGCCTAAATCAGAGGGCAGTGGACTACAGCACAAAGACAAGTGGCCACAAATGCCACAATACCATAAAAGCATGAGGTGGTGTGTGAAAAAAACCCAAAACCAACCACCAAGCCATGGTTAGGTCCATCATTAACTGTTTACTAGGCAGGAATATGCTGCAGGGGTATGCGACGCTTACTGCGCTCTGATGGTTTTCTACATATTTCCAAACTGCTGAGTGACGCTCACAGGCTATTTGAACACCCTACACATTACTGTGATACAAAAGTAATTGCCACACAGGGACGACTGAACCACGCCATTCCCAGCTGCTAGCAAAAGAATGAAACCTTCCAAGACAGGTCATCAACAGAAGAGGAAGGAGGAAGAGCAGCAGCGTGCCCATCTCATGTTACCTTGCAGTAACAGAGCAGCAAGAACTGGAAAGCAACTTCTACCAAATCTGGACGTGAATACATCTAATCGCCCCCACAGTGCTCACTTACAGTATCAAATACTGAACTGGAAATCAGGATACTGGGGGAGGAAACCCCATTTTGCTCTTGACCTCATCAACTTTTTCTTCCTACTCTACCAGCCCAATTTAAACTGTCTCTGGGGATGCATCTACTGCCTGCCACAGCAGATCCCCAGTCCTGGTTGAGACCTCAGCACTGCAAGAACTCTTCTGCCATAGTCACATCCTCATTGCTTCTCCTTTCCTATTAGTTCTACAACAGGACTTTATTCACTCTACTTGGTTAGGTGTATTTTTTTTTCCACTTGCAAGAAGAACTGATCCCAAAACACATTTCACACATACAATCTCCTACGGAAGGTCCAAAGCAGCAAACCCAGCTGCCACAGTAACTGTGTCTGCCTGGATGAGTCAAGTCCAGAACACAGTCCCCTTAGGCAGGTCACAGAGAGCAAGGCACTATTTCAGCTGCACCTCAGGGGACTCTGAAGATCAAGGTCAACATCTTAAACTGACATACCAGTGAGATAACACCTACAGCAAGACACAAACGGAACAGCTTTAGGAATGGGAGAAGTTACATGTTTTTAAGTTCAACATGCTCATTCTGAGTTGAGACAAACTATTATTCCCAAAGCATCAGACTCCATCAAGAAATAAAGAATGAAGAGTGAGCTGTCTGACACACAACAGCTTCTGCTCGAAGTATTCAGGGTGTAGGAAAAAACCCCAGATCCACTGCAGAGGGGCACGCTTCTTGCTCCCTCCAGACAAGAGCCCAATCAAGAGCCCCAGAGCAGCCTCAGGCATGAGCACGCTTTGACTTCTCCCCTTCAGAGAGCTCTGCAGCAGCCTCTCAACGCAGGATTTCAGGGGGAGGTAGCTGATGGGTCCAGTCTTCAGGGCAGGACTGAATCCATGCTTCCCTGAGCATGTGCAGATCCAGAAAGAGCTGAGCTCACGGGCTGAGAAGCAAAGGGTATCAGCTTGGTTTCCCACCAAACAGGCAGGTACCACGGCTGTCAGCCCATGGCTGGCTTTTCATCAGCACAAATGCACCAAGTTTTCAACACAGATTTATAACCTTGTCCAGATATATAAGCCCCAAAATGCACAGACGTTGAAAGGTAAAGCATCCCAATGAATCCCACCCAAGAGACAGAGGCTCCCATGCCAGACTACCCCTTGGTGCAGCACCATTCAGAGTCAGGGATGAAAGAACAATAAAAATTTTAAAAAGGCTACAAACTTTTTTTGTACTGCCCCTACCAGCTGATTCCAAGTGAAGCAGCCTCAGACTGCTACCTAAGAACGTCTCTGCCTACTCAGCTAATGGACCAAGGTCTTCCCGCACCCTTCCCCAAACTTCAGTTCTCCAATGTACTAGACAAAAAAAATCTGCTTTTGTAATACCCAGCCTCAACCTTTGAGCACTCCCATCCTCACTGCAAAGGCCTTTGCACACTATATTCCAAACTCTTCGCCTCCTTGAGGTGAAATGTTCTTGTGAAGCAATGCCATGTTCAAGCTTAGGCCCACAGGAAAGGAGGCATCAGGGACTACAACGTCAGGTAGGTCTACAGCCTCCACTGTTTTAAGTGACTAATGGAAAATCAGAGATTCCCAAGTTTTACAGGCTGAGAGCCACTTTCAGCCCCCAAAAGTTTCTACCTAGACCACTGAAGCTGTTGCTGAAAAATCTCAGAAGGCACAATGGCTCCACAGCCCATGGAAAGCATCACATGAAGCTGATTTACACCAGCTGATCCCCCCAGCCATGGTAAAGGTGAAGCTAAAGGGGTAAGCTCTCACCTGGGCATTGTCCTTTGATAATCACCTGTGGGTGGGCCAAGGGTTTTACATCAGTTCCTAATAAAACCCATTTTGTTCACTTTTGCAGAGAGGTTTGCTCTGTTGACACATCACTGCTGCCCATACAGGTTACGGACTCAGCCCAGCGTCACTAACTAACAAGCACAGGAATACACATCACCTCTCTCCTAGACTCATCTCACCACCTTACCAGGAAATACCCTTCTTTTTACCTTGTTTATTGTGGTTTTTACATAGCTTTTTGAGCTCCAATGAGTGCAATCTGTGCAGTATATTTAAATCATATCTTGTTTTTCTAGAGGTCAAAACAAAATCTTGAAAACAATTTTTTTATTTCATCACATTATCAGACTGGGAACAAACACCACACACACATGACTACAGATTCTTCGGAGAGAGCTCTCTAGGAAGCACTTAACACTGCACACAACTCCAG